AAGCCCATGCTTCTTAACATTGCGCCATCGAATTGTACGAGTATACTCCCACGTTCTGAAAAACTAAACTTCACAATCAAATCTTGTCAACTCCCAAATGTACATTTTAGTTAATTCAAATTGCAAGCAATCATACTTGAGCGTCTACAGCTTTGAGGTTACTGCTGATCTACGGCTCACACCAACGATGCTTCTGTGGCTCGTTTGGACCTTCTCCGCTGCCAAAAGTCTCTGGTTTGAAGGCCAATACAGAGAAATATGCTTTCTTTCAGGTGTATGGATGTTGGGCACTCGTAATTACTAGTAATAAGATGGGATAGATAAAAAGAGATTCAGAGATTGAGAATAAAAATTAGAAATTGAAGAAGGAAAATTGGGGATTATGAGAAAATAATTGGGCAGAATTGGATAGAATGGTTGAGGTCTTTAGGAAGATATTTGGAGGATCGAGAGAGACTAAGATTTCGGGATAATTTCTGTAATATTCTTTTTAATAATTTGAAAGGTACAACAACATAGATATTTATAGAAAAAGACTCGTAACACAAAGGTTGTCAACCCGCGGGTTGACCCGGACCCGGTTGAGCTAGTGGGTTAAGAGTTAATGGATCACCCATTTTAGCACGGTTTAGCCCGGAAATATGGAAAGCGTCACTATATTGTACTTATCCTGATAAATTATATCAAATCTCATCTAACATATGAGTTATAACATATAATATTACACCAAAATAACATGTCGTACTTAGATTCAACATATAGTGAAAATTCACACACACTTATATAACATTAATATTCAAATGTTCAACTTAGGATTCCAAAGATTAAGATAGGTGAAAAGAAAAATCAGAAAATAGGTGCATTTCGCAAAACAAAGAAAAAAATGACACAATTTGACCTCCAACCCGGTACCTTGTAGCGGTCGACCCGGTGGGTGCGTGCGGCCCGTTTTTCTCACCAAATCAGGGTCAAAGTGGGTCAACCCGCGAGTTGAAAGCCTTGCGTAACACTAATGATGGATCTAAACCTAACTAATGATTTAACAATCAAGTAAATGAGTATGATTAGTACGAAAATATCCCCAAAGACACCTGACAATTGCCAAACACCTTAATTAAATGGTTATGAACAACATAAGTACAACGGAAAAAACATGTTTCTAATATTTTCCAAAGCTTGAAAACAACAATGTCGTCACGTTGTTGTCAACTTCAATTATATTTCAATAACTAGTGATTTGAAATGCCTTTTAACAAAAGATTGTACCTGTTTGTATAATTTTAAAAGTTTAGGTACTATAGTGTGAGGAAAAACATATAAATGTATCAAAATGTAATTTTACCACAAAAATTTCTGGACCATTTTGTAAAATTTTATAAGTTTAGGTATAAGAAAAAATAAACTTGGGTACCAAAATGTAACTTACCAAAATTTGTAGTAAGTGGCCAAAAGATTCACAATTAAAATCTAAAATTTAAAATACTTAAATATTATAAATGACTATTTAAACAATGAATTTAATTATATGTATTTTAAATGCTAGTATTTCAATAATATACATATCCAAACACACTTAAACTAAGGACACTTTAGGATTCTTGCAAACACTGTAGAATTACTTGCTTGTGTGCCGCCCACAATCCTAGGGGTCGTTTGAATGGGAGATTGTGACAGGATTGTGGTCTAGGATTTTTAAACAATCTCACACAATGAGGGATTTTAACCAAATAACACGTTTGGATAGAACTGGGATTGTGGCCATCAGAGATTTTAAAAACTCACATATGTGGATTTCAAAATAGCTTATGGGGTCGGCTATTTTGAAATCCCTAATTTTTTTGTGTCTTGTTCCAACTTGGCCCTTCCTCCTTCTCCCTCTGCCTTCGACTGGTACCTAGTGAACTTCACTCATATCCTCCGAGAGTTCGATTTCGCCGGCGAAACATCCTCTTCTTCAACTCCTCCCCTTGCCCCCAATTTTGGGTTTTGTTCGCTCGTTCTTGGTTTGAGATTTCATTAGTTATTGATTGAGGTGTAGAATGAGAAGAATCAGGGTTTGCGCGGCGATGTCGGAACCTTGAACGCCCGTCTCCTAAACCCCAATCCCGGGTTTTGCTCGTCGTCATACCATTCTCCCTCTCTTCGATCACGATTCTCAGCTCTTCCTTCGCTCATCGTCGAGTATCTCTTCGCATTCAAGCCGTCGCCGCCTCCCGACCAGAATGTCGACATTGCCGATCAAATCATGTACGCGCTGAGCAAGTGACGAATTGCTCATTCTAGGTTTCGTCATCACTAAATCTGGGTGCAGGATCAAGGTTCCTCACAACCGATTTTGCTTCTGGGTTCTGCATTTTGTTTGGCCACTTCTTCTCCTTTATCTCCTCCTCCAGCGTCACCATCCTTCACCAACATTGTCGGTGCTGCTTCTTCTCCCTCATCTCCTGTCGTTGGTGGTCTTGATTGAAGAAGACGAAGAAGTTGAGAAAGAGAAGAGGTTAAAATTGTATTTTTACTCTTGGTGTAAAAAACCCTCATTAGCTTCCAAATGCGTTAATTTGTACAAATCTTGCAAACAAATTACCTGAGTTTTTAAACGAGAGATTTAGACTCAATTCTCTCATAAATCACTAGTTTTAAAATCCCCCATCCAAATGACCCCCTAGTAGTTTTCATCTGACTTCTTTGTTTCATTTTCACTATAAAGAAGATCCAATTGTTGAACAAGCAGTACATAATAAGAGTAACAAGCGGTACATGAGAGTACTCAGGTTCTTGTCTCCCTTGCAAGGATCGACAAGAATACTCTCATTTCTCATTCAAACAAGAACTCATGAAACCAAAATGATCCGCCATTGCAAGAACTCGAGCAGATTGGTTCAATGACAGTTGCTTATGACAACCAACGCATCTTCCGCGTATTCCCTCGGGAGCACACACACTCTTCCTCGAACCACTGCCAGCCATTACCCCACCGATTGTCGATGTCCTTGTCAGTGACCACTGTCACGGACCTAAACCACGCCCGTGTTGCCTTAGCCCTCAAGTCTGTCTGAGGTGCTAAGTCAACCTTCTCACTCACTTGGACTCACCCAACTCACAAGAAAATTACTCAAGAAGATGGGAGAAACTCTCTAAAGTGTATTGCTCATAAAAATGATGGATGATTACAAATGAGGAGGAGGTCCTCCTTATATAGGCCCTTCCCTCTTACAAGGTGTAAAATAACCCTCATAATGTTCTCCCCCATTACTATATCCTATTATGTCTCCCCCATAATACACACCATTATACCACCTCATAATGTGGCTCTTTATGTGCACCATTAAACTCATCTAAGATGGGAAATCCTAGGAGCATCTCATGCTACTAGTCATCCATAATGCCACATGTGCTTGACCTGATCATGATCGCCACATCATTCATCATGTCACGCGCCACGCTTGATATTCTCCCCAACTAATCTCGCGACGCCCACATCGTGTCCTTCCTACGGAATGCCTCCACATGTGATATTCTGCCCCCTCCCCCTTATGGAGTAGTCACTTAAGGTACTAGGTGCTTCGTCCCTAAAATCTAGTTTTAGGTTTCGTTATGTAAGAGGATTTTTTCTTAAGTTTATGAATGAAATGTGTTTCTCTAGTATTTTATGCATCTATCTATGATTATTGTGCTTTGAACTTGTCTCTCCAAATGCTATCTTTGATTACCTAGTTACGGTTCGATTGAAGGTGTTGTGGATTGAGCGGTTTGGCATGATTTGCGTAGATGATTGATTTAGGGACCTAGTTGGTGGACGAGATGACCATTCTCTACCAATTAGGACGCCCTCCTAAGTGATGCTAGGGCGGTACGTGTGCGACCATCGACATATCGACCTAGTGTGCATATGGGTTCAACCCATTGAAAAAAGGAATAGAGTGTATCCCTAATTCGTGAATCTGATTGATGTGAGATTGGGTCAGTGGATCGGATGGGGAGGGGGGTTAGTTGCATGACCATTGACTAGCTCTTATATTAGTGATTCTTGTACTTCATCCCCATAACTTGGGCGAGGGCAGTGCTCCGAGTACCTGCTTTCTCATTTATGCTTTTGTTGCTAGTTATTACCAATTGTTCTCCAACCAACCCAAACCCTTATTGACTAGATAAACAAGCGAGTGAGAAGTATTCTAGGATACCGAAAAACCCCGTGGAATACGACCTTGATCAGCCACTATACCAGCAATGTCATCTTGAGTTATTCTTGACTCAAGATGGGATAGTTAGTAAAGTCTTGTGCATACAAATTATGACCCGCACGGAATGGACCAAGGCGTCTTTTTGTGTGGTTTCATGGTCTTGTGGTACTCCTCTGTCTCCTTGGTTTTTGTGATTTCAGTCTCCAGATCCCTCAGATCTGTTAAACTTTGAGTAATCTGGTCAGAATCCTGTCCATCGTTGAATAATCTCCAAGATTCAGTGTGATGAACCATTTTCAAATTGTTCATCACACTGAACCGTGAAGATCTCTCAATTGATCTCGTGTTACGCTTGGATCTTTCTTATAAGGTCCATTCGCAAATAATAGGACCCCAACTCCTATTGCATCTTGGGCCTTGGCACTTGGCAGACGCTCCCAAACTACTTTCTGCCACGAAGACGCGTCACTAGTGGACATGGTCATCTAAAAAATTCTAAATTAAAATGTTTTTGTTTTTATTTTCACATCCGCCTTTTCCTTTCTCGGCTCTGATCTCAATTCTCAACACTCCAGTTGTTTCGTTCTGAGTTTTTTCCGTTTGAATTCGATTAATTTAATTTAAAAGTCTAAACCGCCGATTCTCCAAAATTCAAATTTCTCTTTCCTCTGCCACAAAGAAAAAAAGGAAAGAGAAATTCCAAGCTCCCCCCCGCTTTGCCCCCAACTCAGTCCGCCTCCGATCCTTCAATCTCGACCGCATCTCTCACACCCGGCGGCGTTCCGATCCAGAAAGCAGCTACGCTTTCCCCCTTCGACGATGAGCGAGTCCAGTGAGAATTTCGGCCTCGAGGATAACCGTCTCGGGCTCTTCGACGTCTCCTTGGAGGACGATTGCCTCTATGCGACCTCTTCTCCGACTCGCCAAGACTTTCACTTCTCAGGTCACTTGCCTCTATCTCTTGTTTCTTTTACTTCCAGCTCTTCTTGGCTCTTGCCCGGTTCTGGGTCTGCCGCGGCTGCTGATTCCCTGTGAGGCTACCGAGTGTTGTTTTAGGGCCTGCGGTTAACCCTTTTTTTTCCCACCCCTATTGTTGCTCTCTCTTCTGCCCAATATTTGGATCTCATCTGTTCCAGTTGCAAGATTGAAGCTATGAGTAAACGAATCATTAGGGTTGATTTGGATCTGTAAGCTAATTACGGGAAGATTTCCCGAAATTGACGAGTTTATGTTCTAGCTTATCTGCTGTCTCGTTTTGTGTCCAGCAAGTGGTAGTTTAGGGCTCTGGGATTGCTTTTAAGAAGCTTTATCCCAAGATGCTGTATGAAATTTGTCTTCTTTTGCCCTTTCAGAAGATGTTCTACCTTGGCTGAGTTTTGGTGCAACTTAATCTGCAGATGATTTGTTGGACAATGCTAGCGATCTGTCATTAAACCTTGTGGATTCTCAGAGTCTTCAAAGCACAGAGTGCAGGGATGATGCCAGGGAACATCAGCCTCTTGAATCGTTAGAACCGGAACAGACCAAGAAAAACATGAAGTACAACTTGCGCAAAAGTTTAGCCTGGGACAGTGCCTTCTTCACGAGCGCAGGTAGAATTTAGTTTGCAATGGTTTTAGGTAGGTGTGCCTCGTATGTAGATGTGGTGTAGCCCCACTCTAACATCGATTATCCATGTGATTTAGGTGTTCTGGAACCAGATGAGTTGACTAGCATGATGGGGAAGACTGAGGAAAGAGAGATGTTACCTGGAATTAGAGAGGAGTTAGAAAGATCAACTGATTCGTTATCTACCTTGGCAAGTGAGGGTTTGACCATGGAGAATCTTGAGGGTGATCTTTTTGTTGACATTAGAGCATCAATCCAGAAATCAAGTGGATCATCTTGTGTGGCAAGTTCCAAGCCCAATTCTGGTACCAGAACAGGATCTGTCAAGGCTGCAACCCCAGCAAAACAATGTGAGTAAGCAGATAGAGACAATACATTGATTCGCATTTACTCGATAGTCGATACAAACTCTGCCTTTTGGTTCCTAAATGAAGACGCCCTCGGTAATCCAGAAATTCGCAAGTGCCATGCATTTCGATTGCATTTTTAACAGTCTATAATGACATGGTACATTGAAACACTTCCTAAACTTTAGTTCACCCTTGGGGTATGCTGGGTTCCCGCTGCACTTCTAACAATGTTATTAAAGGAGAGACAATGAAAAGTGAACATGCATTTTCATATTCCAAGTAGCTACTACTGTTTTGCATAATTTTGTATAGAGAAGATAACAAGAGTAGGTCTATTGTATCCAAATGGTTTCTGTTGGGTTCCATGCCATCTGTTGAAGTTGCCACTTGCAAATTGTGAAAATACAATCTCCATGTACTTTCAACTAGTTTCTGTTGGGACTGACTTTGTGTACCTTTCCAGCTCCAAAAAAACTGGAGGAAGCTTCTGAAACCAAGGTAACCCCAATGCATGATCCCAATTAGCACAATTGCCAGTAGTTTTATGCATCTTATGAGTCTATTTTTCCGGATTCCAGCTGAAACCTAAAATTTCTTCAAAGAAGACAGATGTTGTCATCCCAGGATCACGGAGAACAATGAAGAACACATCTACTGTTACACAAGCTCAGCAGGCACGTTCCTTTACATGATATAATTGGCAATTATATTGATTTGGCATTACTACCTCTCTTCCGATGAAAAGTACTTTTGCAAGATGTTTGGACATTTGATGATATTTTCATTTTCATTTTACTGACTTGTCTGCGTACCCTCATTTGTCAGTCATTAGATCAGTAGCATCACTGAGTCTGCATTTCGTTCGACTAACAATGTTTAGCAATGCAGTCTCTTGAAACAAAAAGAGAAACAGCGTCCCTGTCTAAGCCCCCCAAGATAGCTGCCAGAGTTGGCATCTCAACAGCAGCCAAGAGAGGTCCGTTGAGTACCACCTGTGCCAAATCGGAAAAGGACAAAGGAAAATGTTCAGCTAGCAATCCAGCAAATACGAAAGACTTGACAGGTGATTAGTTTCAGCAATTATATTTTCCTGTTCTTCGAAGTGTAAACAGATGTGTGTAGTGCTCACCTTCAACAGGATCTATTTTTGCAGGCAGAGTGAAAATACCAATTTCTGGTGGTTCAAGGAATACTGTGTCCAAGCTATCGCCACCTTGGCGGTCTTCTTCGAGTTCAACAAAGACAGAGTCAGTAGTCTCTTCTTTTGATTGTTCTGAAAGCGTTTCATCTGATGGTGGTAGCAGCAGATCTTCCTTGAGCTCTTTTACACGAAAAGTAGACCCCAGGGCTGCTGGTGGTGTTCCTTCTTCTAGCCTCATAGCCAAAGCCACATCAAGAATCGGTTCAAAAAGTAAAAACCACTCATCAATCCCACATCGCTCGCCTTATCTCAGGTCTGTGGTCAAGCACTCTCCAAACATTTCACCCGCCAGCTCAGTCAGTGAATGGTCCTCGGAGTCAATATCACTGTCACCAACTTCAACCCTTAATAAGAGGTCCAATTGTTCAAGATCTAGCATCGACACAGCCTCTTGTGTAGACCCTTATGAAGATGATGAGAGTTCCCAAGTTTCAGATTCTCCAAGCCATTGTAGTGAACCAGGTGCAGCGGGAACTCATGGCGGTCAATCATTGAGAAGGGTCTCTAAAGAAAACGGTGAACTTCTTACGGAGTCAGCTAAGCCCTCCGGCCTCAGACTACCATCGCCAAAAATCGGTTTCTTTGATGGGGTGAATTCTCGCACTCCTAGTTATTCTTATAAAGTGTTTTCTTGCAATGTCACCTGCGACATGCTTCTGTCTTCCCAGACTTATGGACAATCTTTTTCCTCATTTCATACATTTACTTTTATGAATCCAGGTGAGATCATCCTCGAGAAATTCAAATGGGAGTTCACAAACAAAACCAGGGGCTGCGCCCAGTGGATTACCGAGACCAGGGGGAGTTCTCCATGGAAACCTAGGAAAGCCAGGAAATCTTCAAACTGCTAAATCTGCAACAACGCCAGCCAGGACTCCTAGAATTGGCACTCAGCAACAGTCATTGAGCAGCTCCAAGTCAAAATCCCAAGTGTCTAATAACCAGGCGCCTTCAATGGTTGTACCAAAGGTTGGCAGCAGCGGCCTTCTAAGAAGTGCAAAGCGCTCTCCCAGCATATCTCCCAGAGTGCAAAGTAAGACATCCTCCCCTGGAAGCAGTGCGGAGAAGAATCCAAAGCCCGTGAAAGTCACACCTATTGATGAACAGCACACTCCCTTTGTGCTCCCATCTACCAAAAGCGAAGAAAAGGTTGGTCTGGAGGAGAAAGTTGCATCTTTTGAGTGTGAACACAAGGAGAGTCATAGCATGGTAGGTGATGTTGTTGCAATGAGTAGAGAAAACAGTCCTAGTCAGAAGGAAATGAACTATTTCGAACAGTAGCCGAAGAAAGCTTACGGTGAAGCTCCTCCATCTGTCCATGAGGTTCATATGGGGAGTGAAGGAAGAACTTGCTGAGTTTTCAAGTGGTTATGACGGAGGATGAGGGTGAGGAGGTGGAGACTGCTTGCCCTTCAGGGGAGGGTTGAGTAGAGGGCATTTAATTTATGCGGGAGTGGCTCTAATAGTAGGTTAACTAGCAGCAGCTAAGTCATTTGACAGAAGTGTTGGGCTGCTGACCAACAATTTATCGATCTATGCTTCGTTACTGTATGATCTGTTTAACTTATTTCCATTCTTGTGGAAGTATTCTATTCAATCTTAGTAATGGTGCTTGACTTAATGTTGTTCTTGTGGAAGTATTCTGTTCCAAGTTTCGGACTTTGCTAGCAAATATAGTAGTCTGCTAATTTCCACTGTAAAAATGTGGTTTCGTGCATTCGAGCATGGTTAGATAAACATGATCAAGAATGTGGATCCAACTAGTCTGCACTTTGCAGCATAACACTCTTTAAGATTAAGAATCCTTTGCCAGAGCTTTGGCAATCAGAGCGAGCCATGGAGGGAAAGAACATAGTGGACTGAAACAATGCCGTCAATGGAGATTGGATCTGGCGAGTGGTGACCATAATGTAAGCCAAGAAGCTCTAGTTTCAATCTCGTATCTCAGCCTATGATCAGAGGTCTGTTCTACTTAGACATTGCCGGTAGCAAGGTTTCATCTCTTTATGACTCAAGGAGATGAAACGAGAATGTAGAAAATCTAAGAGCTCAGAATGTGAAAGACTTCAACATATAAGATTGCAAAATTTGAAGGTTCCTCCATACAATAACCAGAAGTCGGCTCAGCAGACGCACTAGGACAAGAACCACAACCATTCCACAGTTGTTTCGGAAACAATAACACAATGAAAACTACAGCAAAAAACTCAAGATCTCCATTGATAACTTATGACCTTGGCTTCTCCTTCTTCTCCTTGAATAGAGCCAGAAGAGAGACACCAGATACCTTCACAACCTTGAAACGGACACCAGGAATATCTCCCACGGCATGACCCTTACGACCAAATCCAGCAATGAGAACTTCATCCTGCACCACCAAACCATATCAAAGATCAGCACATTGACAACAGGGTGAAAATAGAGGGAAATGAATATGTAGCACAAAAAAAGCGCACTTACATTTTCCTCAATGTAGTTCAAGCAACCATCATTAGGAACAAAGGCAGCAATCTTCTTTCCGTTCTTGATGAGTTGCACTCTAGCACACTTACGGATAGCAGAATTTGGCTGTTTGGCTTCAATGCCACTGCAGACGTTCAAACCAACAGTCAGATAAAGTGGGATGTTTCAACGTTGTATGAACATGATGCTATCACAAAAACACAAATTTAGCAAAACCAGAGCAAAATCTTACATCTTTTCCAGAACAATGCCCTTGGCATGGGAAGAACCAGCAAATGGCTTCTTCCACTCGTTACCCAAGTTAGATTTCTTGTAAGCCTTGTCAGCCCACCTTTGCCTCCTGCGATGGGTCTTCAGCTTGCGAGCTGCTCCCATTCCACGTGTCTTCCTGCAAAAGATTGGACGAACTGAGTCTCAACCACAAGATAAAGTTCATACCAAAACACATTTTCATTTGCAATAGCTTATACCAAAGTTAAGCTTTATCTCTAACTGTAGACATAAACAATATATCACTTCTCATCCTCTAAGATAAAGTTTCTCAGCTTTCTAAACCCAATTATTATCAGATACACTGTAACAACTCCTCAAATAACATAAAATCAAAGGCCAAAGTAAAGTTCAGGTGCAGAATATCGAAGATATTGGAAACTAGGTTTGGCTCACTGAAGAACAATGGTGCTATAACTAAGTCCCAATCTAAGTACATGGAAATAAACAATCCCAGAGACACCCATCACAGGGACAGAATCAACTTCTCGACGAAAGGGTTCATCCAAATCTACAAAATGATAGCTATCATCCCTAAAAATCATCGTTCACAGGATCCAAACAAGACAAAACGAATGAAGATCTCAAATGGCTCGGCAGATGCAAAATGAAATGCACAAGAAGCTCGGGATTCACAGCGGAAGAGGAGACGTACCCCATGGCTGCTGGACGGAGTTCTGCTGCGGCGCCGAGGGTCTTCTGAGCTAGCGGCGAGCGACAATTAAAATATAAACCCTAGCACTCGTTTCGTGTTGTTGCGGTGTATAAATAGATAGGCAGCGGTTCCTGAGAGCAGGCTCTGTTTTGAGGAACACGATTGGATTCGGGCCAGACGAATCCGGTGTAAACCCTAGTCTAAGTGGGCCTAAGTTTCATATGGGCCTTGATGGATTGAATCAAAGTTTTGCACTAAGCATTTTTTTCAGCGCACTGTTTTAACTTTCATTTGGTTCGAAAGGGCCGGACAGAAACAATAATCATGGGCACAAGATGTGGGCGATGACTGCGGTGTGAAGATCGGTGATATCGGCAATGGCATCAGGCAATCATTGACTCCTAGTTAGATCAAGAGAGAGCCCTTTATGGAGGGCCCCTGGACGATTGACGACCACTACATCGCCTTAGAACCATGGAGGTTGGACTTTGACCCTGATATGACCCCATCAACAAAACGTCCATCTGGGTAAGACTTTCGAGACTGCCATTGGCCTACTTTGATGAAGAGATCCTTTTGGATATGGGAAACAAGCTAGGTTGGATAGAGAAAACTGACTACAATACCTCGAATGGCTTTGGGGATAATTATTCCCAAATTTGTGTGGAAATTGATTTTCGGGAGTTGTTGATATCCAAGTACAAACTTAAGAGAAGGGTGAGAAGAGTTGAGTACGAGGGATTATACACAGTCTGCTTTGAGTGTGGTCGATATGGCCATCGTGAAGAGAAGTGCATAGTCAAAAACTTGGACGACACGATGACACTAGAGGATAAACTGAAGGTAAGCGAGAAATCCAAGAACTACTAAGAGATTCGTCCAGAGATCGTCGAAGACTTCGGCCCATGGATGCTTGCAGCAAGAATTATAAAGAAAACTACTAAACGTAAAGAACGAGTTCCAAAAGGGGACAATGGAGTGGGCCTTGCAATTTAGTGGAACTCAGGCTGCTCGAGATCAAGATTTAGCGCACTGGAAGGTGAGGAGGAAGATGTGAGACATCCTTGGAAGATGCATTGATGCCTTCATGTGCAAACTTGGAGAATGCTTTATAGCGGCAGAACTGAAAATGTGGTTATTGGTCTGAAGCGTGCTTGGAACTTGGGATTTAGAAAGGTCCAGCTGAATGTGGACTCAACCACAAGAAATTTGTTCACTGTTGGATATGGATGTGGGTTATAGACTTTTGTTCATTGGTCATGATGGTAACATAGTAGTTCACTTAGTGACTTGTTAAGCTCTATTCTTATTGCCTCGTATGTTAAAGGGTGTTTGACTTTGTTAATTGGTTGCATAGTAGAGAGGAATTTTGTTTTAACTCTTAACATTTTATATTTCTCTTGTTTATAAGTTTCAAATGACAAAAAAAAAAAAGGACGACGAATGCAATGGGATGAGAGCAGCATTCTCAAACTTCCCATGGTATGCTCAAATCGGGAAAAAGCAGTATAATAACACTTTGAATGTTGTTATGGTGTTCAAGTCAATACATGGAAAGGGATATATAGACTAATAAACTTAATTTTTTTTATTAATTTTAAGATATATATGTTAATAAGAACTATTATAATGTGTAACTTCAATCATTATTATCACTAGTTATTTGGCCCGCGCTTCGCAGCGGTTATAAACTAATTATTTATTTTGATAAGAAATTTCATCCACTTATTCAACTGTTTAGTTAAAACAAAATTATTCACAAAATATTTCAAGTAAAACACTTTTAATAACTTTTATGTAGTATCTTAATTATTACGGAGGTAAAATATTTGTTTGATTGATACATATGTAATAACTATCCCTTCAACCTTCATAAGCTTTACATATAGAGTGTATTTTAAGAATTGTTATAGAATGGTGTTACGTAATCTTTTATAATATGTCGTCTAATAATAAAACCAAGATACAAATTTTCCATTTGATTAAACTATTATATAATATTAACTTATCTTACATAAGCTTTAATTCCGTTGTAATTCAAATTGATGAGATGTTAAATGTGGTAGGCAATAATAATAATAAATAGTTAATAATAGGTGAACTATGTTATAAAAAGTATCACATTTGATTAACCTGTTATGTAAAATATAATTGACCTTAAAAACCTTTGTGTAAACCAATTGATGAGATTGTAAAAAATTTAGTAACTAATTTAGGAATTTTCACTCAAAAGTCAAAACTAATATCATGAAGGCTTATGTGATATTTTTTTAAATGATTCATAAGAAATTATTATATCCATAAAGTTTGTGTATTGTCTTAGTCATTAAACTTATATTTGCGTTTTATTTAATTGACAATAGAATTATGACCTGAAATTTTTGCGTTAGAAAAATTTATTAAAACGAATATCATATTGTAAAACACATAAAATTTGATATTTATACGCAAAAAAATTTTGAATCCAATTTAAAATGAAAGAACTATTGTCCATCAAATTTTCAGAGAAAATTTGAAAAGTGCTTTGACAACACATATGAAAATCCATGCACTGTCCCAACCGGTGAGGGGCCAAAAATTCTGTCAGTTTTGTTCTAAATTCCTTATTTACCTCATTCCCCTTTATGATATGAATCATTAGATCTATTTTTTGATAAATTACAATAATATTGAAAATAGGAACTTAGGAAGAGTTTTGTATTAAAACCTATTCCATATAATGGTTATGAAGGAGAAATGCATAGGTTGAGAAATTTTTTGAATCCAATTTAAAATGAAAGAACTATTGTCCATTGAATTTTCAGAAAAAATTTGAAAAGTGCTTTGAGAACACATATGAAAATCCATGCACTGTCCCAACCGGTGAGGGGCCAAAAAGTCTGGCAGTTCTGTTCTAAATTCCTTATTTACCTCATTCCCCTTTATGATATGAATCATTAGATCTATTTTTCGATAAATTACAATAATATTGAAAATAGGAACTTAGGAAGAGTTTTGTATTGAAACCTATTCCATATAATGGTTATGAAGGAGAAATGCATAGGTTGAGAAATTAGAGGGCTCAGGGCTGCATTGGAGATGCTTGGACAGCCGCCCTAGAGCTCACAAGTGGTTTAGGTACACACGACTACAGGAAATTAGAAGAAAAGAGGGTTTATGAACAGTAACCCAAGCTAACCCGTTTTTTTCGTATGCAACAGTTAATAATCTTGGGCCTTAATAATTCTAATTTAAAATGAAAGAACTATTGTCCATTGAATTTTCAGAGAAAATTTGAAAAGTGCTTTGACAACACATATGAAAATCCATGCACTGTCCCAACCGGTGAGGGGCCAAAAAGTCTGTCAGTTCTGTTCTAAATTCCTTATTTACCTCATTCCCCTTTATGATATGAATCATTAGATCTATTTTTTGATAAATTACAATAATATTGAAAATAGGAACTTAGGAAGAGTTTTGTATTGAAACCTATTCCATATAATGGTTATGAAGGAGAAATGCATAGGTTGAGAAATTAGAGGGCTCAGGGCTGCATTGGAGATGCTTGGACAGCCGCCCTAGAGCTCACAAGTGGTTTAGGTACACACGACTACAGGAAATTAGAAGAAAAGAGGGTTTATGAACAGTAACCCAAGCTAACCCGTTTTTTTCGTATGCAACAGTTAATAATCTTGGGCCTTAATAATTACCAATGAAGTACATAATTATACAAGAGGAAAGCAATGCGTGGTGTTGAACATGGAAAATGGTTAGAGAGATACAAGGGAACAACTAGCTAACACAAAGTAGTTCGGACATTACGGTTTATCACACCCCCGAAGTTGAAGGGGCAATAACCTTCGACTTGGCTCGGAAGTGACAAATCGTTGGTGACGAAGTGGTTTGATTAGAAGATCAATAATTTGGCTATCGGTGGAGATATAGTGAACGAGTAGCTTTGTGGCAGCCACCCTTTGACGAACACAGTGAAAGCCTATTTCCATATGCTTGTTGCAAGAGTGGAAGATGGGATGTCGGCTCCAACCTCAAACTATGGTCATGTGCCTTTGACACTACCGTTCATCTCATAAATCACATGGATACCCTCTCTTGCACTCTAGCAAATGGTGAGACTTTCTTTAGATTCCTAAGAAAACTACTGGATTTGATTGGTGGTGGAGAACAAATAAACGACTCCTCCAATGCCTTGGAGCTTTCAGATGCTAATGGACTGATCGAATAGAGAACACGTTTACAAGTTGGAGTGGGTTTGACATATGACGAGTGGGAGAGATTGCTACTTGCTACGTTGCATCAGTAAACTCGAAAACAAGAAAGAAGATATGACTACAGATGGGAAATTCATTTTGATCACATAATTCAGGAAGATATATAAGAAGAATAAAGGGGGAACTCATTGCTCGAAGTAAAACCATACAAGGAATTCTTACATGACAATACAAACTAAAGCTAGCTGTCTCTTGTCTGCTCCAGAATCAGTTTGTCCCAATTTCCCCCCAGCTGATTAGTAGTGTCAAGCACATAACAAATGGACAGCCACCATCCATCCAACTTCTCTATACAATAGTACTGTTACAAAAGACATGGCTTGTTCAGAAATCACTCCACCTTCCGCGATATGTGGTACTTCCATTCAACCTGCAAAACAGAAAAGCTTTCAGCTTGTCAATCCATTTTCCAGCTAGCCAAAAAAAAACTGAAAAACAAAAAGCTGCAAGAGAGAGGGAGACTTGCCTGATAGGGATTACTAGATCCTTTAGTTTACTTCTGACCTTTCTTCCACAACACTCCGAACTTCTTCAGCACATTTCCATTCTTCTTCTTCGGCGACTCATCATCCATATCTTCCGAGAAAGGCGAACCCATAGTCCCAGCAATGGTGTTGTAATTGTTCATGCCATTATCAAGCGAACCCGTTCTCTCCACAAACTTCCCGTTGTTATTATTCCCTGTTGATGAAAGCATTGATGCAGCTGCCTCAGCTGCCTTCCTCCATTGATCTGCCTGCACCTTCAGCCTCCTCAGTTCAGCTTCCATCTCCGTATTTGCAGCCTGAGCGGTATCCAGCTGCTCAGTCACCCGGGCGACTCTCCTGCTGCTCTTATCAGCTTCCTCGGTTACAGAACCAAGCTTCATCAATGCCTCCCTCTCTCCTGCCTTTGCTGTGTCAGCAATTGCAGCTGCCTCATCATTAGCCCTGATCCTCTCTGCTTCACCTCTCTCGATCTCGATCTTCAGCATGTCATTCTTTTCGGCTAAACCTTTCACTTGTGTCTCTTTCTCCAGAAGGGCAGCTTTCAGCAATGTGAAATCATGCTCCAGCTTCTTTAACTGCGTTGCTAGTTCAGTTTCCTTCTCACTCGACTGATTTTCTTCCTCCATCTTTGACCTTAATCCTTCATTCTTGTTTGAAATGTTCAGGAGTTCGGTTTCCTTATCCATTAGAGTAGCCTTCAGTTTGTCGATGTTAGCCTTGGCCTTCTCAAGTTCTGCTTCCAGTTCAGCCTCTCTTTCCACAGACTCCTGCTTTGTTTTTTCTGCTTGTTCGTAAGCACTTCTAATCTCCAGTGTGCTCTGAATATACTCCACCTGGTATCTAGCCTCGGATGCTTCCAGCGCAGCTTTCAGTTGACCCACTTCATATTTCAAAGACTTCGCCTCACCCTTCAGTTTGTTTGTTGCGTCCTGGTCTACAGTCATCTCCATTGCTGTTGCAGAAGAATCTCCAGAAGCTTCCAAGGATTTAGCTTGAGCTTTCGACTGCTCCAACTCCAATGCAATTGCTTCCAGTTGCTGTTGAGCTTCCCTAGCAGCTTCCATGGCCTCAGCTTCAGACTGCCTGCAATCATTCATCTCACTTTTCATCCTCTCAACGAGGGAAAGAGTTTCATTGAGCTCCATCCTCAACCTCTGCAACTCTTCGTGGGCTGACTCAGCATGGTTTATCTGTGTGGCTTCAGATTCCGCCACGATCTGCAGCTGATTCTTCAGCCGTTGGATCTCGTTCATGGCGGTTCCCAAGGCAGCAGAATCCATGGAATGCTGTCTCTGGACAGCTTCAAGCTCGGATTGCCAAGCTCTATCTCGGTCGTGGGAGATCTTAGTGAGCTCCTCCACTCTAGTGTCGTCTGATGAAGTCAGCTCCATCAGCTGCTGCTGACACTCCTCGACTTTGGATGACATATCCATGAGCTGCTTCTTTGACTCTTCTGCTTCCTGCTGAGCCTGCCTTTTGCTCGACTCCGAAGCATTCAATTGGTCTTTCGTCTTTTTGAGATCATCCTGCATCTGAGATAGCTGTGACTCCAGTTCGGAAACTCTAGTTGGCCGCTTCTTCTGCAAGATACACAGTTGGCTTTAATAAATTGTTGGTTGAATGCACTTATGTCAGATATTGTGACAAAAGTAATTGGAAGTGAGATTCATCCAACAACACAATACATAGAAAGTGTTAATGAAAAAATGATATACTTCTTCAATTGCATGTTACTGCACATGAAAGCCTACCAAATACATCCAACCACACGACCTGCCAATGTAATCAGAATGGAGTTTGGACTACATTACCTCAGTTATAGGGCTTCTTGGGGACTTGCGTTCAGGGACCTTGGGGCTTCTGTCCTTAGGAGTCTTGGTGGCAGGATTTGGGGACCCCACGGAATCAGAATCGGCTCCAGATGGCTTGAGTTGGCGAGCAGTTCTTGAGGTGCCTGGAGATCTCCTCTGTGGCACCTCCAAGGAGGCAGCCCTGCTATCGAAGTCGGCAGAAGGATTCATGGAAATTGAAATAAGATGACCCAAAAGAAAATGTACAGTTCTCCCTTAAGGTTAAATCTTTATATACACACAAGGTGTTTGAGAAGTTTAGGTAGCAATACAACTTTCAGAAGCTGCCACCAAAACTTGATCCCTTTCAATACACTCTCAACCACCACATGGACATCGATGCAACACCAAACAAGTTTGAACATAATCATTTTGATAGTTACCTTGAGGCAACAATATCTTTTTTCCTTTATCTTATAAATGATGTCGACAGATGCAAAACAAGAGATCCAACCCCCCCCCCCTAAAGCAGAAATAGAATTGTTGAAGAAGGTAAATTAAGTGGGAGTCAAGGTACCCATGATTTTTGTTACTAGCATTGTAGTAGAAAGACAAGTATAGATCATCTTCAATGCAAAGTTCAAACTGAGACATAGTTTTGGGGCAAGTATTACCATGCAGGAAGTAAAAATGGTCTCACTTTTTGGATGCCAAAATCCAATTTTAAAGACTCAAACTCAAAACTGCTAGCAGAACAAAAGAACAAGATTTGAAAGACCAAAAGGTACACCAAGTTGCCATAATAAACAAAACATGATTCTGAGACAAAAACTCATTCAAGAGCTTTAAAAGTGAGGAGAAGGCGTAAATGAGGGTTACTAAATGAGAAAGAATCTTACTTTGCTTTTGGTGTCTGCATTACTGAGCCTTCCGTCTTTCCTTCTTCCTCTCCTTCTTGCTCTTGTTCAGCACAACAAGTTACTAATGGAGTAAAACTAGAGGGCCCTCTGCCTTCAAACCCAACCTGAAAGCCACCTGCAACAGCTCCTTGACACAAATCTTTGGTTGAGAAACTAACTCAAAGATCAGAATCCCCATACCCTTATATTGTATACTAAACAAATCTCTAAGTTTGTAGAGCAGTAGCCATCTCATCTATTGAAATCAGTTACCATGAACCTAACATTCAAACGAACAGACAAAGCAATACAATACAGTCCCTTCAAAGAAACTCCTCACAAAACTACCCCCACTACCACCAACCAGAACTACAGAACCAAAACAAAACAAAAACAAAATATCAAGCTAATTCATTATTATGTAGCATGAACACAAACACACAATCCCCCAACCTTGTCCTCTCTCTCTGTCTTTTTGGGTATTATTTTTCAAAGGCGGTGCCTTTGCTTTCACTCAAGCACTACTATATTATGCTCCCCACGAGTAAATGTACCCAAAACCAGAGATGAAGCCAAAAGGGAGAAATAACATAATGAAGCCCATTCCCGGATTTTCCTGGCTTCATTCTCCTTTCTGTGGGTCACTATCTGCTCTGTGTTGGCACCACCACAAAAGGTTCCATGTTACTGATGCATGTAACTCCGCGAGAAACGGGTAAAAATGGGGACTTTCTTTCTCTTGGCAGAAAGAGCAACCGCAAAAAAGGGAATGAACAGGAAAGCTAAATCTGTGAAATGAAAGATGAAACTGATGATAGAATGAACCTCCCAAGTTTCAGTTATGAAGACTTCAAAGTGGAGGACGGAGCTCAGAAGAGACATTGTCCAAATAAGTGTAGATCCAGAATAAGTAAAAGCTACACACCCAGAACGGAAAATATAGGCTGAAACACAAACAGAACGAAAACAGAGGAGTCAAATAAGCAAGGAAATGCTTTTCTTACTCTCTTTAATTTTTCACAGAGTACTTAGCCCTTTTTCCACACCCACCTGGGAAAAGGGGTAGGAAGACAGATTGAAGCTTTCTTTTTGTTTCAAACACAAAAGAATGTTACAGCCTGAGGCTCTCTAAGCTCTGGAGAACATTAACACAGTCCTGCATTGCTGATAATCTACAAGTGTGGGAAAAAAAATACCCAAACCAAAGGAGCAGAGGTTTACCAGAGAAAACTCAGATTTGCTTTGCCATCAAACTAGATAGGAGAAATAAAGAGGGGAAGGAACAAAGGGCGTTGGTAGCAATAAAGAATCTCAAACAGTACCACGGAGAACAAAACAAAGACACATTTCGAAAGTTCAAAAGCCCAAGCATCAAAAGTACACACAAGAAACCAAACCCAATAAACAAACAGAGAGAAGTTGAAACAAACAGGAGACCCCGCCCTTTCTCGTACTCCAAAGAATACAAAAGAAGTTAACTAAACAGGAGGAAAAAAAAGATGACATTTTGATGAGTCGTACCTGTAGATGGTCAAGGTCGGAAAAAATGGTTCCTTCTTCTTCTTCACTCTGTTTCGAGTTGCTCTGTTTTATGGTGAAGTTGTGGGTTTTGGAAGGGAGCAGAGAAGGGAAGGGAAACCCTAGCAGTGGGAGAAAGAAAAGAAGTGCATTGGGTAGAGGAAGAGCAGAGTAGAGGTCAGAGAGGGTAAATGGCTTCTTCTCAATTGGCTTTGCTCTTTTTCTGCTTCTTCTGCGCTCACTTCCCCGGTCTCTCTCTCTCTCTTTCCTTCGTTGTCTGTGTCCGACTGTTTCCTCTCTCTCCTCTGTTTTTCATTTTATATTGTTTTTGTCAGTATTTTTTTATAATCTTGTCAGTAATAATTATTAATATTATTATTTATTGCTTCCAGCGACTACTGTGTGTGGAAATTTAAAACTGGATAACGATGGTTGGGCTTTTTTCTTGGGCTGGGCCCAACTTTCCCTTCATAAGACAAAAGTCATAGCGCAGTGCTACTACTGACCAATCAGTCGCCGCACTCTCGGCCGCTCCTACGGCTTTTCCGCCCTTTTTCCTTTTAGGTTAGAGTTTTCGGATAGTGCACTGTGCACAGGACCAATATATATAAATAGGGTAAATTATACATTTGGTCACTCGAATTACATAAACATTTCACGTTTGTCACCCAAATTCATTTTCTTTCAATGTAACCACTCACTTTACGAATCGTTTCACCGTTGGTCACCCTCCGTCAGTCTCCGTCAGAATCCGTTAACGCCGTCAGATTTTTGATGACGTGGCAAACGGAAGTGCTGACTGAGCTGACAGAGAGGCTAAAAAAGACGGCTTTGACTGCCTAGTCAGCCACATACCCGACCCAGCAATTTAATTGACCCGTGTTTTTGTATTTCTTTTTTCTTTTCTTTTATTTTTATTGAAAAAAGGTTTACTTTTACTGTGAAAACTGAAAACCATCGGGCAGTAAAAGGAAGGGGCTTTTCACTTCTCTTCTCTTCTGTTCTCTTCTCTTCTCTTCGTATTCTCCTCTGCGTTTTTCACCCGAGGCGGCTGGTCGATCTCGATCAGGGAAGAAGGGGAGACGCCGGTCGGACAGGTCCGACTAGGCCAGAGAAAGGATTTTCCGGGCAGGGGAGGTGGAGGTAAGGCCGCCGCTGTGGAGGCGCTCGATCGGGCGGCGGTGAAGTCACTCGATCGGACGGGGAGTTGCAGGTAAGCCGCCGAATCTTCTAACCTTCTCCATCCTTTTCGTTCCTTTCTTCCTTTACTCTTCTTATCGTGCCCAATTTGTATTACTGAAACCCTAAAAATTTCCCAATATGAAATCGCCGAAAGATTAATGATTCCAGAGCTCCTACTACTTTCCAAATGGAATGGGATAGATTTGAAGGTCGACATCACATCGCGTAGGAGAAAAGCCTAAACCAAATCGAACTCTTGCCCAACCACAGAATCAGAATTAACTACCAGCCAAGCTCCAAGAACAAACAGCAGGATCCAAAACGCAAGTTAAGGACTTAAGGCTCGTTCCAAATAATTAGAACTAAATCGAAAGAGTGAATCGTGAAATTAGCAAGAGAAAAATCGAGGCCATCAGAGTCCAGATTCTAGAAAATGGCTAAATGTTCTTGACTGTGGGGATTTCACAGTAAAAGTAAACCTTTTTTCAATAAAAATAAAAGAAAAGAAAAAAGAAATACAAAAACACGGGTCAATTAAATTGCTGGGTCGGGTATGTGGCTGACTAGGCAGTCAAAGCCGTCTTTTTTAGCCTCTCTGTCAGCCCAGTCAGCACTTCCGTTTGCCACGTCATCAAAAATCTGACGGCGTTAACGGAGTCTGACGGAGACTGACGGAGGGTGACCAACGGTGAAACGATTCGTAAAGTGAGTGGTTACATTGAAAGAAAATGAATTTGGGTGGCAAACGTGAAATGTTTATGTAATTCGAGTGACCAAATGTGTAATTTAGCCTATATAAATAATTAATTACAAATAATATTTTGTAAAACATTTTGAATAGAACCATTAATTTTGTAAAACATTTAGAATATTCCTAAATCCTAATGGCTAATGGTTATAGCATATCTCTTGCTGGAAAAAATCCCAAGTTACACATATTTTTCAAAAAAATTCTCAAAATACACACGTTATGAAAATAATTTCCAATCTACGCATGTTTGGGTATTCACCGCGGCAGAGGAGGGAGGTAATTGCATCAGAGAAAGACGGTGATTGCATCACCGCTGTCGACGAAGGCGGTGAATGCTTCATGTTTCTCTCATGCAATCGCATGAGAGAAAGACGGTGATTGCATCATCGTTGTCAACGAAGGCGGTGAATGCTTCATCGCATTACACGGCCGCGGTGAAGGCCTGACCTGCGTCAAAACTTAAAAAAAAAAACATAACTTTGTGCTCGGTTATCCGATCGTAGCGAAATTTGTTTTGATTCCGCATAATTTTTCGAGATCTTGCAAGCCGCAAACGTTTGCTCGGTTATCCGATCGTAGCGAAATTTGTTTTGATTCCGCATAATTTTTCGAGATCTTGCAAGCCGCAAACGTTTGTATAGTCGTTATTCAAGATTGCTGCTTAAAGAAGCACCAAATGACATCATCCTACCAGTGCGACGTTATCCTACATACGAGCCAAAACACAATTAATTTCGTACTTATTTAGACAATTGTATAGTCATTATTCATTGTTCCAATATTTATTTAATTAGAATTAGTTTATAATAATATTAATTACTGTAGACATCATTAGTCTCCGCATGTAGAATTCTTTGCAACGTATATAAGGTGCTTGTACATATTTCATATTCTTCAATGAAACAGTAAGTTTCAACAACCCTATTCTTATGGGGAAATGACAGAGTGATTGTTGCCAAGGGTAAGGTAGTGATGAGGTGGAATTAATTATAATTATTTTTTTTAAAAAAAATTACACCATTTATTTAATATCAAAATTCACAGTTGACTGTCATGTAGAACGACTCTAACAAAATTGGACAGCAGGTGATTAACGATAAAATGATAATTAAAATGAGTGACTAATAAGGAATAATTTTTTTTGGGTGACATACGTGAGAATAATTGACAAATATTTCAAATGCATGTATTTGAAAGTGCGGAGTGAATAACTACTGAAAGCATCTAAGTAGTAAGTTTACCACAAGATAAGTGCTCCCATATTCCGACATCTCCAGAGTCCCCGGTAGCACTGCCGAGACAAACAAATAATTCCCTGCTCATGCGAAAATGAAACGACGGAAATATTGAGAATTCAATAGAAGGTCATATCCAAACAGATCCTACAATAACAAAAATTATTTTTTATGACAATCATGTTTAAAATCCGCATGGAAACAAAATTAGATTAATGCCAAATCTCAAGATTAGTTAATAACCCATGTGAGCAAGCAAGTTAGGTGACAAATATAAAAATCACCACAATCACAATCAATAACAAAATTGCCATATCCCACATAAGAAAACAAAAACATGTTTGATTTTACGACAAAATGTTGATTTTGAAGGTTCATAGTAAGAATGGAAACAACAAAAGTGGGCAGAGAGAAAGAGCAGTTGAGCTTTACTCCCTATGTAGCTGTTATGCACATGCCTTCATCCAAAATTATAGTGATTGAGTCCCAATTTCCAGTTTTCTCTCCGCCCTGCTGTTCCCACTCAATATAGGCAAAAGATTTGATGAGCAGAAAATTAAATGGCGACATCCATTATACCGTACGGCCTCCCAGTTTTAAATTTCTCAATTAAAGATCAAGACAGTGGAGAAATTGAAAGAGAAAACGCAATCCAGCCAGTGCTTCTGGTGAATCCAACCAACTGCCTTTGTGAATATATTCAGTTTTTTTTTTTTTTTTTTTTTTTTTTTTTTTGCATGAGAAGGAGGCCAGGGCCAAGAAGAAAGAAGGTTACATGGGAGTGAAGGAAAGAGTAGAGGAAGAAGTAGCAACCACCCTACGGGTGCTGGTGACGCCCATCACGTCAGCTCTGAGAATCGAAGAAATTCCAGGTGGCGGGTTCACTAACTCATGCATACCGTAGGGATAGACGAGACTGTGCTTCGAGAGCCAGTCCGCGACTCTATTCCCTTCCCGATATGTATGCGTCAGGCGAACCAACCAATCTCTGTTGATCTTCCTGCGAATGGCTGAAAGCAAAGTAGCATAGGGATGAATCGGGTCGTGACGAGAGCTAATAAGCTGAAGTGCAAGCTGCGAGTCAGACTGAACTTGCACCGTTCTGCAACCATGCCTCCAAGCAAGATCGAGCCCAAAAGAGATAGCCCAGAGCTCCGAAAGAGCCGGCGATGCCGTACTAAGATTGGCCACATAGCCAGCAATCCAGCGCCCCTCCGGGTTGCGCACAACTCCCCCTGCGCCCGCCGGTCCCGGATTCCCGTTTGAAGCTCAATCTGTATTAAGCACAACCCAACCACTTGGTGGTGGTTTCCAGCCTATCTCCTCCTCAACTCTGCTGATTGGTTGACTCCTAGTACTGGGAATCAGGGGCGGGGCAGTCCAAGCATTATACCAGATCTTTGCCTTCGCTATGATTGAGTGTTCGAGAGAGGGAGGAGTGAGAGCTGCTCCTGGTCCCTGCAAACAGAACACGCATCGGTTTTTCCAAATAAGCCAAAGCGAAATGCTGAAGAAGGCTGACCACGGCATCCCGGATTCCAAGGCTTCGGTCTTAAGCAGGTTGGAGTGGAGCCAGTCCTTCTGCTCTAGTAAGAAGAAACTCTGCTGCTGCCCTTCCGGAACGTGACGGAGCCAGAAAAACATGGCCGGGGGGCAGTCCCTAAGAGTGTGAAGGACCGTTTCGGTCGTCCCGGAGCATTTCGAGCATGAAGGGCTCGACGCTGCTTTCCTATGGAAACGAAGGTCATTCGTAGCAATCTTACCCAGCATAGTCTGCCACATGAAACACCGGACTCTCTCCGGGACCTCAAGGTTCCATATGAACTTCCAAATTTTCTCATCAGGATTTGGGGATTGCTGGTTGAGGATGTTGAAGGCTGATTTAGTGGAGAACTTCCCGTCCGAAGAGGCAACCCAGAGCAGAGTGTCATCTTCAACTGTAAGGGTATCGACCGCGACACTGAGAATCTTCTCGCAGATCTCTATGGGCAGAAAGTCCTCAAAGAGGGATGTGCGCCATGTGTCGTCGTTCTCCACGTGCTCTGCTATCACCATGTCTCCATCTCCTCCGTTATTTGTCCGATCGCCACGTCCCTGAAAGGTACCTGCAAAACCCACGGGTCCAACCAGAACTTAGTGGATTTCCCATCTTGATGTTCCAAGCACAACATTTTTTCAAGAGGGGAGCAGCTTTTGCAAAACTGCTCCAAGTGAAGGAACTTCCCTGAGCCGGCCGAAGAATGTTCAAGTTCTCTCGCTGGTGACCATACTTTGCCTGCATGATTTGTGACCACAGCGTCTCCTTCTCCTTAATTAGGCGCCATCCTCCTTTCGCTAGCATAGCCAAATTCGCTTGTCTGGTAGGACGAATCCCCACCCCACCATTCTTCTTCGGCATCGCCATCTTGTCCCAGGCAACTAGATGCATTTTATTCTTATTCTCCTCCTCAGCCCACACAAAGTCCCTGTTCAGCTTATCAATACTGTGACAAACACCACTGGGTATGAGCTCAGTATTCATATTATAAACAGGAATAGAAGCAGAAACCGCTTTCACCACTGTAAGACGCGCGGCAAAAGACAAGCGTTTTGCTTTCCAAGGCGCGAGCTTCTTCTGAATTCGGAGGAGGAGAGGCTGATATCTCTCCCTGGTCACTCACCCATGGATCGTCGGGATGCCCAAGTACTTCCCCAAAGCCGCCTTCAGAGGGATGCCCGCCCGCTGGCTCAGATAACTGGCTCTCCTACGATCGATGTTGGGAGACACATAGAGCATTGACTTTTGGTAATTCACCCGTTGGTCGGAGCTGGAGCAGAAATCATCGAGGCATTTCTTGATGATCCGAATTTGCCTTATCCCTGCTTCTGCAAAAAGGAGAAGGTCATATGCAAAAAAGAGATGCGTGAGAGGAGGACCGTTTCTGGACAGTCTAAGAGCTTTCCAATGTCCATCAGAGACAACAGCATCAATCAAATGAGATAAGCGTTCCATGCAAAGAACAAAGAGATAAGGGGACAGAGGATCTCCCTGGCGAACACCCCGAGTCGGAGTGAGGGTAGGGGAGAGCTGCCCATTCCAAAGGATCCGCATTCGGTTCTGAGTAACACAATGCATGATGCCACTAATCCAAGTGCTTGGGAGCCCTACTTCCTTCAGAGTATCGCGAAGGAAGTCCCATCTCAGCCTGTCATAAGCCTTCTCGAGATCGATCTTGAGGATGATTCCCTCCGCCTTCCCCTTCTTCTTATGCAGCGAGTGGAGAGCTTCTTGGACCACGATGATGTTATCCGTCGTTTGGCGCCCCGGAATGAAACTACTCTGCCGGGGGAGATCAAGTCCCTCATAAGCGGTTTCAACCTGCTGGTCAGAGCTTTGGTGATGATGGCCTTAAGGCTGACGTTGTTGAGTGAAATTGGGCGGAGCTGGCTCACCACTTCCGGCCTATCCACCTTAGGGATGAGCACCAAAGTCGACTCAGTTACCGCTTCAGGGAGAGTTCCTGTCTCGAAAAAATTGGCAGCCATGTCGGTGAGGTTCTTCCCTACAGTTCTCCACATCTTCTGGAAGAAGACCGCCTGGTATCCGTCCGGACCGGGGGCTTGAAAAGGCTTCATGTCGAAAATAGCACGGTGGATATCGTGGATGGTGAAGGGGCGGAGAAGAGCTAACATCTCTGAGTGGCCTATCCTGGGGAAGGACCCTTTGGGCATCTTGTCCTCATAAATGTCATCTTCTTGCATAGAGAGATTAGCGAAAAAACCAAAAACAGGAGCAGCCAGAGCATCTTGATCAGACACCCAGTTGCCATGCTCATCCTGAAGGGCTTCGATTTTGTTCTGACGCCTCCGAATGTTGACTTGTTGATGGAAGTAACTTGTGTTGCGCTCTCCGAACTGAACCCACTTCTCTCTAGATCGCTGAAACCAGAGCAGCTCTTCTTGTTCCATCACTTGATCAAGCTCAGTTTCCAGCTTGGAATGGAGTTTTGCTAGACTTGGCAAAAAAGTCTGGGCAAGCCTAACTTTGATGCCCTTAAGCCTTGCTAGCAGCCGCCTTTTCCGTTGCTGGATATTACCAAAGACATTCACGTTCCACTCTTGAAGCTTCCCTGCAAGCAAAGGAAGAGCAGCGTGTAAAGGCACATTAGAGTCCCAATTACTCTCAACAAAATCCTGTAAATTAGAGTGAGACAGCCAGGCTGCCTCGAACTTAAAAGGTCGAGAATTTGCCGAGGTACTTCCCTGACTCTTGATAGTGATCAGGATGGGGTTGTGATCCGACTGCACACGAGGGAGATGAAGGACAGTAGTGTTCGGAAAGTAGGCATTCCATTGGGTATTACAAAGAACCCTATCCAGACGACTAGCCTTGAAGGAGCTGTCCTGCTCGCCCCTCATCTAGGTGAAAAGCGGACCAGAAAACCCCAAGTCAACTAACTCTGCAGTATTGATCCTGTCATTGAACAGCCTACAGCGGCGCATGGTGGTGGTGGTAGCGGGACCGGCCTTCTCTTCCGGCGATCGGATCGCGTTGAAATCACCTGCGAGGATCCAGGGGATGTCCACCCACTTGCTTTGGTTAATAAGATTCTCCCAAAGGCTCTGCTGCTCACTGTGACGAGGAGAGGCGTAGATGGCGGAGAGCTGCCAAGGAGGGCTACTGCTTTGCGAAACCCGAAGGGAAATGTGTTGATTACAAGCAGACACCAGCTGAACCGAGAAGCTCCCCGCGTCCCAAAAGACCCAAATACCACCTTTACGGCCTTCCGCGTCAACTCGAATCGAATTTGGATACCCAAGCTTGTCGCAGACAGAATCCGCGGTGTTCCCGCTTATCTGAGGCTCCAAAAGAATCAAGAGATCCGGGCGATGTTGCTGGATCATCATCCGCAGAGCTCTAGCAAAAGATCTACTACCTGCTCCACCAACGTTCCAAGAAACAATTTTAAAGTTATGGTTGTGCGACATGGAGAACATAAATGAAAACAAAAACAGGAGAGAGAGAGAAGAGGAAAGCCCGAAAGATTAATTGCTGGGGGCCAGAACGGTCGTCGCCGATTCCTGTCTGGCTTGGGGTGGGGGATCGGCCTTCATTGCTTCCTGGTTCCCAATCCCTAACTCAACAATCTTTCCATTCTTCGCTTCTGTCCAAGCAGAGATCTCTTGCAGAGTAAGCGAAGCAACGCGGCTTTTGGACTTGGGTTTCCTGTCCTTCAACGGTGACCAAATTTGAAGGGCCTTCATCGGACTAAACTTGGCAGGAGAATCCTTCTTCTTGCGAGCCTTTCCTGGTTTGTTCTTCTTCGTTCTCGATCTCGCTGAAGGAGAAGGAGGCTCCTGTGTCTTTCCACCGTTGGTCTCACGTGGGCCAATTTCAACCACCTGAAGGATTGTGCCATTGGGCCCCTCCTTAGTCTGGACCAGAGGGGTTGGGAGAGCACTGGCTTTCGAGTTCAGCTTCTGGGAAGTGGGCCCACTTTGTTCAGGAACTAACTTGGTATGGGGGGTCATCTGGGCCGGGACGTCCGGCAATTGGGCCGAGGTTGAGGCAAAGTTGGGGTCAGTAGGTCTCTTAGGCCCGCTTCCGAGATTATTCTTGTTGACGGGCCCGGAACCGAGGCCCTTGTTCGAGACCGAATTAATCCCAACCTTCTCTTTCCCTTTACGTGCCTCTTCCGTATTTTTCTTCCCGTTGCTGCCCTTTCCTTCTTTGCCGCCATTTCTGCCGTTTGCCAACGTCTTGATGCTGTCCGAAGATGGTATCCCATCCCTTTCCTTATATGTTGAAGCTTCTTTCCCCATTTTGTCCGTAAATCCGCTTTTTGCCTGATCTTCCTTTCCTTTTGTAGGAGCATCCCGAGGGTTCCGCCGGCTTTTGCGCGTGACGAGCATCCACGGCCCGAACCCCGGATGCTCCTCCGGCGCCACCACCGGAGAGGTTGCCGTCACTGCGTCTCCAAGGGATCCTCCGAGAGCCAGCGCAGTTGCAGGCTGAAGTCGGGGACAGGCTGGGGTAGCGTGTCCGATCTTGCCACATTCAAAACACACCGTCGGGAGATTCTCATACTCCACCGCCTGCCACTCATCGTCCAACCAAATTCTTGGCACAAGGTGTTTATCCAGATCAACTTCGACTGCCAGGCGGGCAAATTTGGCTCTCTATTGAGTCAGCGTATGATAGTCTAACTTAATTGTCCGGCCGATCAGATTCCCTAGCATGTTCAGGACTTCCCTGTTATAGAAATGAACTTTGAGAGCCGGTAGTTGAACCCAAACGATCATCTTCTTTGGAAGGGGATCTGAGACTTTAAATTTGGGTGTCCACTGCTGCACCACCAGGTAATGATCGTAAATGACCCAAGGCCCGTCTGTGAGAGCATGGAAGTAGTCTTGTTCATTCGTAAGTTTGATCAAGAAGCAATCACGATCAAGATCCATGACCTCCATATTCCCAGCTGGTCGCCACATCGATCGAAGTCGAGAGCAAAGAACAGAAAAACCTATTTTGCGACCAATGAGTCTAACCACCAGGGTGCGCTGCCACGGCTCGCAGATTCTGATCTTGAAGGCAGCCGACACATTGAGCGCCGGCTCTCCATTCCGCTCGCCTGGGATGAGGTCGTTTTCTCCTACCGGAGTCCACAGGCTTGCCATGGTTTTGGGCGGAGACAGAACGTTCAAACCCGAGACCGCATTAGCATAAGAGATCTGCGGTTGCGTTTTCCCTGCCGGTGTCGAAACGAGAGATTGACCCTCCCTGGCTTCGCCGTCTGGAGCAGCACCTACTTCAACAATCATGTCCGTAGAGGCCGCATGATCGGGCCCCGAGCCATCTTGAGCGAGAGCGGTATCCGGCGGCCGATCTGAAGGTGAGAGGACCGGCGCCGGAGAGGGATTTCCGAGCAAAGCTGTCGAGAGCATTTCAGAGCAAATTCCTTTATCGGTGTCCCATATATTCAGTTGTTTTCCCATTTTATAATAGTAATTGTATTTATTATTATTTATTTTTTTGTACGTTCCGAAGCATTTATGGCAGAAATTTGTATAGTTGGGTTGCTTGCTTTTTGTTAGGGCTGAAAATGAGCCAAGTTGTTCATAAGCAGCTCTACGTTTTACTCGAAAAAATTTCGTTCAAAGGTATGGGTCCGGTCGGTCAGCTACAATACGAAAGGTTACCTTCTCCAATAGCCTCGCCCTGGGAGAAGACGGATTGAAGCAAACAGCGAAGAGCAAAGAGCTGGCGGATCAACAAACGATGAGATGGAGGGAGGAGCCAACAAGAGAAAGAGTCATTGTGTCACAACAATTGGGCTGTGATGAAGACAGATGAGAAATGGATTCGTCGATTAGCTTTTGAAAAATCGAAATTCGTTAAATGTGATTTTTTTTATTACCATCAATGAACCAGTAGTCATATCAAAACCAAGCAATATTTTCCTGGAAGTCAGTTCAACCTGGAAGTCATATCAAAACGAATGTTATCTCCATCAAGAAAGGTGTTATCAGTTCTTACGGTTACAGGCACAACAAGCCTCACATCAAGCTGTGGTCTCCGTCACCTTCTTCTTATTCGACTCTTTGGCTTTTCTCCTTGTCGTACTTAACCGCTGTATTCGTTCTGAACTGTCCTGGATTATACAATACATAACTTCTCTTTCCTTTTGCACATTCTAGTTCTACTAGCAGCTTTGCATTCCAACCACAAAATCATTGGTTGCAGATATCACAAAAGCGTCCACAGGCAGGAGCACTGATCGACTTAGCCCAACCATCAAATGAAAACTGCAGCAGAGCTTCCGGTCATAAGTCCAAGGATACATCAGATTTCTAATGGAGTTTCCTACCAAGAATCGTATTAAATAAGGACGCTTTCAGCATACTCTGTGAATACTTGTACTTTGAACTAATGAACCACTCCTGTTATATGGTGTGCTACTGAAGAGTGTACCTGGTCTGAAATAACTAAGACTGCACACTGGCATTCCTTGAAGTGAGCTTGTCTCCTTGCAGTGTTATCTTCCAGGAATCCGCTTGGAATATAAAAACTGAAAGCTTTTTGGGGACAACTGCATAGTTTAAGAGGTTTTATGGAATTGTTAGCTAATGCTCATAAAACAGGAAAGAAAGAAGGAATTGAGAAAATAGTAGGACTTTATTCAGAGTTCAGATGCAGTTACCATCCTCGGCTTACAAGATGTATGTTCATTATGACATGGTTCAATTTACAAACGGTACACATAAAACGAGTTACCTCTAAACTTGTTATCTTGTGTAATTATCCCGAATGTCTCTGCAGTTTCACGGATCATAATACCACTTACTCCAGTCAAAGATGATATCTTACACTGGGCAACTGCAGAACGGTAGACAGAAAGACGAGAATGTTTGCACAAAAGATTTGAAAGAGAAAAACATTTTTTTTTGTGTGTGTGTGGGAAAGAAGAGAACAATTTGTTTCTGCCGTCTAACTTAATTTTACGTTGACTAGTTCCAAAAGAAGTTCTCCCTAAACATGTGGTTCAGGTCATGAAATTTATGGAAATGTTGGTAGATTAGCCCAATGACCAAGCTAAAATCATAAGTGTAGGATAAGCTATCGTCAGTCTTGGTAAAATAGACATGGGCAAAGGCTTAGTTCATTGAGGATTATCATGCATATGACGGCTTTCTCAATTTTTGGAACTACTCACTGACAAAAGAGCAGGTTCTGCATTACAAGCAATGCTACGAGTCCAAGAAACAAGTTTATTTCGTTACTGAGGAGCTTCAAAGCATAAAAGTTCAGTGTCCCTAGGTTACTTAAGGTGGTCAAACATGATAATCTCAACTACATACCTGCAATAATGGCACCGTGAAGGTCTGCACTAAGAAGACACTGAGCCAAATGATTTCCCCTGCAAGTAGGATCAATATAAAGTCAAATCATCTACCTAAAAACTGTTATCATAAAGATGTATAGTATGAAATTTTGAAAACATGGTGAATATATTACCCAGTGGTCTTGAGTAGCTGCGACATATATCCCTTCCACATCTCATGCATGGGCTTAAAGACATCAAATCTGCAACCAAAAATCAATCCATCAGATTAACAAAACAAAAAATCTAAGGTTTTCCAACGAAGAACTGGAACGTACTTCCGTAGATGTTCAGGCAGCTCCAGAGATCCACACTTCTTATGTTGCCTCATGGACATATGCGTCTTAGAGCGCTTCGCCTGCGATTGCAGGACTTCAGCACGAGAAGACTTGGATTTCCCGCGCCCTTGCACATAATTATCCAGCAGTATCCAACTATCAATTCTTTTACTTCTGGATCCCTGCATATACTTTTGCGCAGAATCCCCATGTTGGAAAAGATCGTGCAAAATCTTATCCACTGCGTTCCCACCTCTCTTAGTCTGAACCTGCAGCAGAATATGAAGCAAATGTTCAAGTTACGTACAAAGAGCAAACAGAATGGTGAACTCTGAAAGAGGGGTTTTGAGCTAAGTACCTCAGCATTGGTGGTTAACAGATTATCATGTACAGGATGAGAGATTTCTGAATATGTCAAACCACTATCTTCCATATCTGATTGAGTATTCAATTTCAACAGTTAACAGGAGTTCCCAAAAAGAGATGAGTAATACAAATCACATCAGTTCATACCTCGAGCAGAGAAGTAACTTGAAGAAAAGAAATTCCCTGCCACAACAAAATGAAGAAAAACAAAAGACATCAGGAAAAGAACGAACAAAAGCAGTACAGTCCTTCTGAGGTTTCAATTGCCGAAAGTGACAGAGCACCTTTCCGAGCATCGGCGGCTGCAGAACCTTTGCCTTCTCTTTTGCTTCCTTCTAATCGCGGCCTCTTTTCGCTGCTCTTCTGTTGTTGCAGAACCTCAGCTTCAGCGACAGCAAACCTTCTCTCCAACGCGTCCATTGCGCGTTTTCTTGAATCCTCAGCTGCCATTCTATCAAAACCATGACCGCGCAGTCAGAATAATTGGTTCTTTGAATGTTGTCAGAACCGAACCGGAGTACGACCCGGAAACGTGAACGGCTCGATCTTTAGTGGTCCAGCCGGCATTAGACCGTTTAAAAACCCAATGTTGTCAGAACCGAACCAGAGTATGACCCGGTAACATGAACGGCTCGGTCTTTAGTGGTCCAGCCGGCATTAGACCGTTTAAAACCCGTTTGAGAACCGGTACCTAATAAATAGTCATTTGTATAAATAGTAGACACTTCTTAATCATGGTATCAGTTCCCACCCAACTCTTCTCCATAGACAATTAACTTCAATATATTTATCACTCTTACTCTGCCGTTAGTCCAACAGAGAGACAATAATCCTACTCCTACACAAAAAGGGACATGTCCCCTGGAACAAATGTAATTTACACAAGCAAAGCAGAAATGATGTAGAGAGCTACCCATCACTTGAAATTTGTTCTTGTCCATTGCACGTACCTGAGAGACTCTCGAAACTTTAGTTTCCCAAATACCCAATCTGAAAGTTACTCTTTCTTTTTCGTGGTTCTTATCAGTTTACAATTTGTTCATGAAATTTGACAACCAACAACAGAACCAGTTTCTAGTTTTCTTAACTCATTTTTTGTTAGCTAGATGTATACTACAGATGGAAAAGACATGATGACTATGTGATGCAGACAGGTAATAAGGAAAGCTCACGAAAGAGAAAGCAAGTATACACAATAATAACACCGGCCAAATTAACAAGAAAGTCGCACCTTTCAGACCAAATTAGAATCAAGAGGAGGAAATCTACAGCGCTATTCTATGGATATCATATACACAGAGACATGAGGAAGACAAATAGAAAGTAGAAAGAAAAAGGAGAACAGGGGTTATTAGAAACCTGGAAGCAGAGTGTCTATGGACAGCAGGGGTCGATGCAGGGGAGAGGCAGTCGTGACCGGAGAAGGGAGAAGGGAGACCTCACCGGCCGGCCGTTGCGCTCGCCGGCAGGAGCGGGGAACGAGCCGCCGAAGACGACGACGACTATGGAGACGGGCGACGGGGGAGTGGCGTCGAGCGATGGCGAACGGCGACGACGTCGAGCGATGGCGAACGGCGACGGCGTCGAGTGATGGTGAACGACGACGGCGTCGGGCTACGGGGAACGGCGGCTGCGGAGGAGGAAGCTGCTTCTCCTTCGTGTCTGGCTGTCTACGCGAAGAGGAAGAATGAAATTAGGGTTTCAGCACGGTAGCCTCCCCTTTCATTTTCGATATTTTAGTTTTTTTTTAATTAAAGCAACCGGCCCAAAGGTAAAAAACCGGGCGAGCGGCTCGAGCGGTTCAAGCGGTTAACCGCTTCGGCCGCTCTCCGGCCGCCCCAAATAACCACTCCGGCTAAATAGTTGAGTCGAGCCGGTTTTATGGTCGGGTGGCGGTTTTGGCGGCTCGGCCGGCCGGCTCGGCTCGGCTTTGACAGCACTGTAAAAACCGTTTGAGAACCGGTACTTAATAAACAGTCATCTGTATAAATAGTGGACACTTCTTAATCATGGTAAATCACAAGTAAATTACTCTCTTAAACAATCATGTATAAACAGTCATCTGTCTCACATTGGGATCGAATTGCTTGAGCTAAAGGTGCAGGCAGAGTTATGGGGCAGCAAGAAATTGGTGAACTTCAAATTAATAAAGGTGAAGGCAGATTTGAGAAGCCCCACTGAATGTAAAGGTGAAGGCAGCTCAAGCCCCACTGAAACGATTCAGTCTCACATTTAGCAACAGCTCCAGAGACCAAAGAGAGCAATTTGCAAGAGGTAGAAGAAGAAGAACAGGGGAATACGAGAAGCTGATGCGAAGAGCAGGGGAATACCACGAGAAGCTGATTCGTTCTCTGTTCTCTCTATCTGTTTCTTCTGTTTCTTCTCTGCAGGAGGTAGAAGAAGAAGAACAGGAGGTAGAAGCTGATGCGACGGCGACGACGCTGGGGAAGATGGCGCCGGCGCTGGAGAAGATGGCGATGGCGACGGCGCTTCTTGTCTCCAGGGCAGCCTCTCCACGAAGAAGAAGATGGGGAAATTTTTTTGGGAATTAGGGTTCTGCACTTCTGCCCGACCCCGAGTCCCGACCCACCTTCCTTCCCCTTTAATTTTTCGGTATTTTAGTTTTTTTTTTTTTTAATTACACCAACCGGCCGGATGCAAAAAACCGGACGACCGGCTCGAGCGGCTCGAGCGATTAACCGCTTCAGCCGCTCGTCGGCCGCCCCAGAGAACCAGTCCGGCTATATAGCTGATCCGAGCCGGTTTTGAGCCCGGTTGGCGGTTTTGGCGGCCCGGCCGGCCGGCTCGGCTCGGTTTTCACAACACTACTTCTTTCACTGGTTCGTCGGCGAAGAAAAACAAGAGGAAAAAAAAAAGACACTCGTAACCCGTTCGAGTAAATACCTTGCAAGTGGAAATCAATCGATGAAAAAATTTGTCCGGCGAAATTGCCGATCTATTCAGCCGAGTGAAAAGCCCGTCGACGGCTGGCTGTTTGAAGCTTGGTTTTGTCGAGAAGTAGAGAGGTGTGACCGTGTTTCCTGCAGCCGAGCGCAAGAAGAGCGATAGAGCCATTGCTGCGGTTTTGTCTCTTCAGACAGAGGGTCTGATGGGCCTTCCGGGGAGTAGAGTGAGGCTGCACCCTGCTGAGCCCAAAAGGACTTCGCCGTGCATAGTAGGGTGCTATTGCTAAGCAAGGTAGTCAAACGGGATTAGGCTAATTAATCCCACTACAACACTGTCAATTATCACAAAATTGTCATTGGTTTCATGTTCTTTCATCGATGGTTGAAGATAGGGTGCATAACCCATGTTATGCACCCATCAATAACCAAACCTAGACCCTTTATTTAGAAAATTCAGTCTTAAGGAATGAGAATTAAAGACCATTTTTATTTTTTCTAGCTTTCTTAATTGACTCATATCTTTTTCGTTTTAACTCGGATTTTAATTTTTTTTGCACAGATGGAACGAGTTCATCGTGCTCTACAAAATGAGATCAATTTTCAATATTTTTTGAGAAAAAAAAGTTCTGGCCTCTCGATACCAACGGCATACCATATGGTATCTTCTTCGTTTTTGAAAAAGTTTGCACAGAAGGGACGAGTTCATCATATGATCTATTGGATCTACAAATTTCTGGGTGAAAAAATTACAGGACCAAAAAATACCACACAATACCATGCAATACCACCCTGGTACGGGGTGGTATTGTATGGTATCTTCTTCATTTTTAATTCGTTTTTGAAAACGTTTGCACAGAAGGGACGAGTTCATCATGATCTATTGGATCTACAAATTTTTGGGTGAACAAATTACAGGACCAAAAAATACCACACAATACCATACAATACCACCCTGGTACGGGGTGGTATTGTGTGGTATACAATGTTAAAAGTCGTAAATGACAATTAATATACTTCTACTATCATGTATTCAACCATCCTACAATCTTGGTTTGTTCATACCACCATGGTACGTTTTTCAAACCATAGGTATGCTTTTATTTCAATACTAGTCAATACCATATGGTATAGACTGGTAAAAAATGGCTCAATTTTTTTTTTGTTCAAAAAATATATTAAAGTGGATATCATTTTGAAGAGCACAATTAATCTGATCTAACTGTGCAAACAAATTTAAATTTCGACTTAAAATGAGCGAGAAATCGTCCGTCAAAGATTAAAGAGGGGAAAATTAAAGGCTTTCCAGGAGAGAGAGGATGTTGATGTCATGCTGATGTGGACGGGTTACTCATGGTTACTCACCATAAGGTTACTGACCTGATCCATTCCCTTCATCGATTGGTTATTTCTCTCCGTCCATATCTCTTTTTTCAGAGACTAAGCTTAGGACTGTAGGAAAGAAGATAGCAAGTGACAAATTATGTCTCGGCATCATTCCTCTCCCTTCGGTTGAGTATATTCTAACCTCTTTCCCTCAGAGACGATCGAAGTGGTGCTATGCTCGACCGAATGAACGAAGTAGTGAGCCCGAAGGTTTAGAATATGTTCGCATATAGAAACTGAGAGGGAGAAGGAGGAAAGTAGATTTATTTTCAAATGAAAGAGGGTGAACGCGTGCAACAATGCACTTTTGTTACGATATTTCTAGCCATACATTGGGGTACCTACTCTAATTGCCTTAGGGCAAGCATAACATACATATGCAGGTTTAGTTCAAAAACTCAATATTTCATTTCTATCACATCGTATAATGGTTTGTGTCATTTATATCCTGGTGATTTCGTTGACCGTTAGAGATAACGGTTAACTGGATGGAGGTCAAATTGTTATTGACTTTGCTGATGTGGCAAAAACGTGGAGGCCATATAGATGTTAGAGTAGTAAAAATAGTGGGGTCGTTTGGATGTGGAAATGTAATGCAGTAATTGAACCCAATTACCACATAATGCAGTAATTGAGTTAAAAACCCATGTTTGGGAGAGCAAAAAGGGTATGAGAATTGGTCCATGGAAATTGGCTTCAATTACCACATTCATGGTAATTGAGAATACTACACCTCCCCCTAGTAATTTGACATTACCACGTTTTCTTACTTCTTTTTTCAAATTCCACACCATCAATTCCCACAAAACTAAACCTTATCCAAACGTGAATTTTTTTTTCAATTTCCACAAGTCAATTCCTTGGTTTTTTAAAACATGGAAATTCAGACAAATTCCAACGTTTTCAAATTTCCACATCCAAACGACCTAAAGTGAAAATATCACATTGCTTGGAGAAGAAAACTGCAAGTGGTTTTTAAGTTTGTTTTCACTTTATTTTATTGAATAAAGTAGTTAGTGGGTTTTTGAAAAAAGTGTGTGCTATTTAATTTGACATATTAGATCATACTACGCATTTAGCACTTCGCACGATGCGTTCGACATTGGACTTGTGGCTATTTAATTAATTTCTGGAATTAATTAATTTCATATAATTAATTGAATTTGAGTTTTGTGAAACGATGTAACCCTTGAGAAGGGAACTGTTGTTCTCACAAAAAAGGAGACGTTTGGCCAAAAGATTGAGTTATAACGTTCATCTTCTTCTTCCCGTTTTTCCTTCTCAAAACACAAACACGGAAGTCGGAAAGATTGTTGCTTTCCGACTTTAATTGGAGGGACTCCTGGGGATGATTTGCCTAATTCGTACCAGCAATTTGTAGTGCGACCAAATAACACTCTAAGGAGAGATTGAATGATGCTTTCAAATATGTTTTATCTCTACTGTTTCCCTGACAATCTTAGAGTGTTATTACGCGAGACAATGGACTCTGGAGTGGAGAGTACCTTAAATGTGTATGCTTCTGGTTCCAACAAACTAAATCAGTTTGATGGAACCAATTTGACCCGCTGGCAAGGGAAGATGAAGTTTCTGTTGACTGCTTTGAAGATCGTGTACATACTGGATCCTACCTTGGTGCCGCTTAAAGAACCAAAAGACACTGATTCTGATGAAATGAAGGTTGAACGTAAGAAGAGGAACGATGACAACTTGCTGTGCAAAGGATACATCCTCAATTCGCTATATGGTCGTCTTATTGATATGTACTCTCAATTGGCAATCCCTAATGATATATGGACATCTTTGGAAAACTAGTACAAATCAGAGAAACAAGGCTCATATAAGTTTGTCACTTTTCAGTTATTTGAATTCACTATGGTGGATAAACGTTCAATTTTGGATCAAGTTCATGAATTCCTTATCTTGCCTCTAAGTTCACTGCGCTGAAGATAACTCTTCCTAATTCGTTCTTGGTTGGGGCAATTATTGCGAAGTTGCCTCCATCATGGAACAACTATAGGAAGAAATTACTTCATGCAATAGAGGAGTTCACTTTGGAACAGATTCAGGAGCATTTAAGGATCGAGGAGGTAACTCAAATGCGTGACAAGGATCTAAATTCGGAGGCACCGTCAAGTTTCAAAGTGAATGTTGTGGAGAACAAGAAGGATAAGAAGAGAAAGAGCATGAATAATTCCAACAATCAGAATCAGAAGAAGAAGAAGAAGAAGAAGAAGAAGAAGCCAACCCCTATGTCTACCAAGAATTACTTCAATTGCGGGCAGTTGGGACATATTGTTCGCTTCTGTCCTAATCCCAAGAGGAACCAGAACGAAAGGGTTGCAAATGCAAATTTGATTGGGAAAGTTGAGCCTAGTGAGATTGTTGCAATGATTTCTGACTTAAATGTGAGTATGATTCAGGAATTGCACATGGCTGGAGTCATGACCAGTACTGATTGGTGGTATGATTTGGGAGCAATTTCTCACATTTGCAACAAGAGAGCCATGCTCAAGGACTACACAAAGTCAACGGATGGACATGAAGTTCTGTTAGGTGACCATCGCACGATCAAGGTCCTTGGATATGGAATCGTGGAGCTTTTCTTCACTTCGGGGAAGAAAGTTGTTCTCGCCAATGTCCTTCATGTCCCTGATATTGGAAAGAACTTGCTTTCTGGTTTCATGCTTTGTAATAAGAGGATAAAGGTTGTGATAAAATCTGATAGGGTGATTCTGTCCAAGGCTGGTATGTTGGTTGGGAAGGGCTATGTGAGTGATGGTATGTTTAAGCTAAGTATTGACAATGAAAATAATAGTAAAGTGGATGATTCTGCTTATATCGATGTGTATGCTAATTATAGTATAAAAAGTACTTCGTTTGATTTATGGCATAATCGATTGGGACATGTTAACTTTAAAACTCAGAAATATATGTCTAGAAATGGTCTCGTGGTTTGTGGTGATAACCATAGAGATAAATGTGAAATCTGTGTGCAAGCTAAGAAAAAGAGAAAGTCATTTCCTAAGTTGGTTGACAGAATTTCAAATTTATTGGAATTGGTACATTCTGATATTTGTGAATTTCATGGTCACTTATCTAGAGAAGGATGTAGGTACTTCACTACTTTCATTGAGGATAATACTCGACTACCTATGTCTATTTAATGTGAACTAAGGATGAAGTCTTTGATAAGTTAAGTTGTATAAAGCTGTTGTAGAAACTCAAAAAGGTAGGAAAATACAAATCCTTCAAAGTGATATAGGAGGAGAGTATTTTCCTAATAGCTTTAATGAGTTTTGTGAACAACATGGTTTGATACATCAAAGGCTGCTCCTTACACTCCACAATAGAATGGAGTAGCAGAAAGAATAAATGGAGTTCTTTCTCACATGGTTAATGTTATGTTAATAAATGCTAGTCCTCCAATCAATTTGTGGGGAGAGGCTTTGCTAACAGCCTACTATTTCAAAAAGGACCTTCTCGCGTTATAAGACTTCGAATACACCCTTGAGATGTTCAAAGTGTTGCACCCAGGTCTTGCTATAGATCAATATGTCATCGAAGAACAGAACGTGCTTGCGAAGGATAGATCGAAAAATTTCGTCCATCAATGCCTGGAACATGGATGGCACATTGCATAATTCGAAGGGCATCATTAGATACTCATAATGCATGTTGTGGGTCCTGAATGCTGTTCTGATATGATGATATCCGACTCTCAAGTGCAGTATCATGAAGAACTACGACCCATGAAGCTCATCCAACATATCCTTTAATGTCAGTATAGGAAATCGGTCCTTGGTCGTCACGTCATTCAGGGTCCGGTAGTCTATACAGAACCGCCATGTATCATCCTTCTTCTTCACCAACAGTATCGTTGATGAGAGAGGACTGGTGCTAGGTCTCACCAATCCAGTATCCTACATCTCTCCCACTTGCTTCTCTACTTCAGCCTTATGGAAATGGGCGTAGAAATAGGGTCTCACGTTCACTACTTTTGCCCCTTCTTTCAGCTGAATTCGTTGGTCAATTTCGTGTTTGGTGATGGTTCACTGTTGAGGGCATGGCAGGAGATGGCTGCCACCGGTCGTCTCATCCTCCACCTCTGCTCCACTCTCGCCAGTGGCGGATCCAGATTTTTTTTTAGGGGTGGCCTCTTCCAAATATTAAACTAATAAGTAAATAATTCATAATATCCGACCTGTACAAATTTTAACAAAAAGTCGCGATGTGTTTTCATATTCTGAAAAAATATATAAAATAGATTCGGTGTCAGCAGTGCTCAACAAATCTATATATCCTACTAAACAATAATTCACAAACTGGTCGCATATTCAATTTCTAACCTTGTTTTTTTGCAACTCAAAGTTGAAAAAACTCTTTCAGCACTTGCCGTGTGACCATAAAATCAATTCAAATTAAGGGTAACTCGTATGCCATAATTAGCATAATTAGTTTAATCGTTAGGTTTTGAAAATATTTGAGGATAAGGAATAGTGTTTCTACTATTATATAGTGTTTAAAATAGAACAACAAATTAGTTGCAACCTAATGAAAAATATGTTTAATAATAGTAGTGTTCTAGATTTGAATAACACTGACTACCAATTATATTTTGTTTATCTATACGAAACTACTACCGAGAGTTGGATAATCGTTTTCCCAAATTTTAGGGGTGTCCACGATGTATCCGCCACTAACTCTCGTGCATGCCTTCTACGAACTGTAAGTACTTCTGGAACACAGCCTCCATCGAGAACTATGAAGAGTTCAACGAGGCTCTTATACCAATTTGTTGACGGTTAGGGGTGACAATTGGTCGGTAACCGATAAACGGTATGTCGAGCATGGGAGGGGGGAAATTGATTACGGTTACCGGTTTGTAACCGGTTTTACCGATTTACCGTAAGAAGTTTCTTGAGATGGTTTTCGGGTCGGTTTATATTGACTGAAGTTACTCTCCCTTCAGATTGGGCCAATCCTACTACTCCTCGCCATCTTGTAGCTCGTCACCGCAATTACCACCATGCAAATTGCTGCAACGGCCGCCGCCACTATTGTTATTGCCCTCTACAACGCCATCGCCTTTTTCTCCCCCTCGACCTCCCGCACCACCACCGTGAACTGCCCTGGCCCCTCCGTCTCGCATATCAAATCCTTAGTGATATTTCGAAACTAGACCAAACCGCCCTCTGCGAATTTCACTCACCTAATTTTCGAATTGTTGGCGTATGCGTGCTGGAATCAGACCAAGATCGAGCCCACAGTGGAGGTTAAGATGAGGCTCTTTGTGAAATTCTTGGCAGCGTTGTAGGCGGAAAAGCCGATGACGGGGGCGACAAGGGAGTATCGGGGGACCTGGAAGTAGCGATGGAACATAGTTTCCCCCAAATCGAAGAAGATGAATGCGATTCGACGCGAGAAAGGGCAGGGAGTGATCCCCCGTGGGAAGAGGAACAAGGTGTTGGCAGTGGATCCTCGGTCGTACAGGGTGCTGACGCGGAGGCGGATGGCGGAGGCGTGCACGCCAGAGTAGTTGGATAGGAGGATAATCGGCGCGCAGCGTACTGGTCCCGGTATTGGTATTACCGACTTACCGTTGGTATTTATCGTAACTGGGGCCGGTAAATCAAATTCCCCAATTACACACTCAGATACCGATACCGCCAGTTATCGGTTTGGTACAACAGTAAACCGATTACCGGCTTACCGTTTGTCACCCCTATTGACGGCGTGGGATTGAAGAAGAAGAGATGAAGAAGATTTGAGGAGAATTGGGATAAGAAAAGTTTGGCAAGAGAGAGAGAGAGAGAGAGGTTTAGGAATTGTAGTTTTTGTCTATTGATTGCATAATGATTCTCCCGCAAAACAAAACCGCATAAGTACTAGACAATCCAAATAATCAAGACCGGTATTTCGGGTTGGGGTTTCAGTGCTCGGCCAGACCTCCCAGGTAACCCGATACCCTCAACTTGCTATTCTAGGAACAAGAGATTATCCTTCACGCGGTATGTCATAACTTACTCGTATCAATGGGCATTTGACTGCATTGCATGTACAAATGGCGATTTCTGAGTACTACGTTTACTATCTACGTCATGAATTTGAAACCGAACACCATTTACAATTAAACCCGCATATCTAGTTATTCTCTCATCTGCACCTATACCTAGAATGTATAAATGGTCATTCTGGCCAAGGGAGCTAGAGGCAAACAACTTTGTAACCTATATAAAATAAAATAAAATAAAAAACCAGCAAGGCATAGTTAGAATTTCCCAGGAAAACTTGAACTCAAAACAACAAAGAGAAAATCATTATAAGTATCGATTTATAGAATTGACCACAGCTTACATAAGTTTTTAACCATTTTGGGAAAAATTCTGCAATAGCCGTGAATGTAGAATTCGGATTATTCTTCTTCATCTCCTCGGAACACATGCTGTCAGGAGTTTCATGTGTGATCAGACATTTAACTATAAAAAGTGAACTTGTACTATCTACGCACTAGAAGAGAAATTAATGTGAAATACAATGTAACTTACTTGAAGCAATCCTCCCCTCTTCCCAATTATTTAGTATGTAGGTTTGAATCTTGTTAAACTCTGGACGCTTTAGAATCTCATATTTAGCACCACCTAAAGGTCTAGTTTCCTGATTGAAAATAGAAAACCCACCTTCACCATGTACATGAGGCCCTTCATCATTTCTATCTAAACGAGTCTCCACCGACTCAAACCCGTCAAGGTATCTCGCACAGAATTCAAAACACTCTTTAGCGATATATTTTTCAGCAATGGATCCCTTTGCATGTGCTTTATTTGTGACAAGTTTTTTCAATTTCCCTAAGAACCTTAGTACAAGTGAATACAGAAACACATGTTAACTTAGTGAAAAGGAAACTTAAAACATTAAGCCAATACAAACAAACAAGACTGCCTATGTACCTTTCCATTGGATACATCCACCTATATTGAACTGGACCGCCGAACATTATCTCGTCAGGAAGATGAATTGCAAGATGCATCATTATGACAAAAAACAATGGAGGATAGACCAACTCTAGTTTGCACATAATTAAGATTATGTTCTTTTGCAAGGTGTGGACAGAAGATTTGGATATGGTTTTCGAACATAGCTCTCTAAAAAATTGGCTTAGTTCAGCCAAGACGACATATACTTCTTTCTTCAAGAAACCTTGTGCCACTGCTGGCAATAAACGCTATATGAAAACATGGTAGTCGTGACTTTTCATGCCAGTCACAGACCGCCCATCACTAATGATACAACGTGATATGTTGGATGCATATGCATCGGGAAACTTTATGGTTTTCAACCACTCACACACTTCACGTTGTTTCGAGACCGATAATGAATAACAGGCCTGAGGTAAACAAGGCTTAGCCCCAGTTCTGTCAATGTGCAACTCTTTCCGTATTCCCATGTTCTTCAAATCTAGCGTAACAGTCATGTCATATTTTGTTTTCCCTTCAATGTTCATCAGGGTTCCTAGCAGATTCTCACTGATATTCTTCTCCACGTGCATAACATCTAAGTTATGCCGCAATGCAATACTAGTCCAATAAGGCAAACCCCAGAAAGCAGCTTTGGTTTTCCAGTTTAAACTAGGATTTGAGGCACCCCTTTTTCTTTTGCGACTACTACTGGCCTGCTCACTGCCTAAAGCAAAAGTAACTTGGTCAAGCAGTTGTTGTCCAGTTAACAATTGAGGCCTAGCTCTAAAATCTGACTTCCCATCAAATTTCCTACTTCTCCTCCATGGGTGATCTTTGTCTAACCATCTACGGTGACCCAAATAGAACTCTTTGCTGCCAAACTGTAATCGTAGGTAGTCTGTCTCCCTATTGCAGACAGGACAAGCTAACCTACCTTTAGTACTCCACCCGCACAACATACCATAAGCTGGAAAATCATTTATGGTCCATAAAAGCGCAACATGTAACTGAAAAGTTTCATTAGAGTACGCATCATAAGCTTTGACCCCAGGATTCCATAACTCGTTCAGACTCTCAATCACTGGCTCCAAATACACATGTATATTTTTACCCGGGGATTTCTTCCCTGGTATTAGGACAGTAAGAAAAAGAAAAGACTCTTTCATGCAGTACCATGGTGGCAAATTGTAAGGAGTAAGAACAACAGGCCACATGCTGTAGCTCGTACTCATGTTGCCAAACGGATTAAACCCATCACTCAACAATTCCAGTCGGACGTTCCTAGGATCGGAAGCAAACCAATTATGGGCTGCATCAAAATCTTTCCAAGTCTGTACATCTGCTGGATGCCTAAGGATATCATCGTCAACACGATTATCCTTGTGCCACCTCATAGCCTTCGCAATATGCTTAGTCATAAACAACCGCATAAGCCTATCCTTTATAGGGGAATACCTAGCCCTTTTAATGGCTACATCAGACCCTTTACCAGCAAAATTCTATCAGATTGACACTTGGGGCATTTCCTCTCATGAAGAAGATCCCCCCTAAATAAAACACAATCATTCGGGCAAGCATCTATTGTGGTGTAACCAAAACCCAGGTCTTTAATATATTTCTTCACATCATAGTAAGAACTTGGCAAAGACTCACCTTTAGGTAAAGCCTTTTTAATCGTTTCCAAATTCAAGTTGAATGACTTGTCTGAACTATTTGTAACTATTTTGTTGTTCATCAACTTCACAATGAATGACAGTTTGGAGAAGGTTTCACAACCAGGAAAAAGTGGATCTTTAGCATCCTTAATCAGTCTTGCTAATGTGGGATCAATATCCCCAACAACCCAGTTAGAGTTTCTAGAATCAGGTCTTTGTGCGACATTAGCTCTACCTTAGTCATCTAACATGGTAGGAATGTTTGTATCAACAAAAAAATTATCCTCCTCCTCAAGATGAGGAGGAGAGCTCGCTGGACCACTACTACCAATCTCAACAGCAGGTTCCCCATGATGAACCCACCGTACGTAATCCGGAACCATTCCATGATTGTAGATATCAACTTTCACTAACTCAATGGTCTTGAAGGAGCAATTGTTGCACCATCGGCATGGGCACCTAACTCTACCTTGACCATCAAGACATTGCATGGCACATTGTATAAAGGCATCAACACCACATACATACTGAGGACAGAATCGGTCCTTCAGTTTCAACCACGACCTATCCATTCTCCTAGTGCACTTAAAGTGAACTAACCTGAACAAATCAAAGTGCCTTTGCTGCAAATTCCCACTGGCAATGGAACTACAACAGTTCACAACTCCAACAGAAATGCCCAGCTGGTGCAGGAGAAGGAGGATTAAAAGTAGTAGAACCTGGGGGGAAAACAAATGCAAACATGGTGAGTTAGGGCCAAATAGGCTGCTGTACACTCCCCTCACCATAAACAAAACCCAGATTAGCACAGTAATGATGTCCAACTAATGCTTTCAGTCATGGCGATGTTAACAAACAACTAAAGAAGGTTGCAACCTCACAAGACCTAATTACTACCTCACACATTGACAAGCAAACAAAAAAGAACTCGCAGAATTTGAATGTCAATTAGGAACGAGTAAGCACTCATAATTTCACAGATTCATGCATTCAGGGGAAGAGAATGAGAGGGGTGCTAACCTTGTGTTCGAATATCCTCTTTCGTTTATCTAAGGACCTGCTCCAAATATATGAATCTGGATGATTGAGGATCTCGAAAATTGTTGGTGATGTTTCCGCTGGGCATGTGACTCGCTATGACACAACACCTAACAATGGCTAAGTGTAACCACTGGAAGGGACTGCAGTATAGTGGCTCAAGTGATAAATATCGAATCCACGGGTCTCTAGAGTTACTATTACTCAGCTTCAGTTTATTATTTAGCAAACCAGATTAAGATGAAAGAACTAAAACTACTCTAGCAAACTACAGTTAAAGTTAATCTAATTACAGGTTGGGAACTCACTTAGGTATGATTCCCCCTAGCCACTAGCCAGACTAACGATTGATGATTTCTAACTTGTTTCACTTTCATTCACAATGCGGAGAATCCTTGACTAGACCTTGAGTCTCGACTAAAGGAACAAGGCCCTCTTGAGTCAATTGCCTAGAGGGACGTATCCTTCTCTAGAACAACTGATCAAGGCGTTCCGAACTAGATTCCCTCTATCAAATGAGGTTCTCAATCGATACAAAGCAGTGAATCAACCCTCGACTAAAGCAATCGATCCACTACTATCAATCTATGGTGCTCTATTGACCTAATCAGGTATTCCCTCTCACAGGATCAAAGCAGAATCAATAATCTCGAATAAAGCAGAATTGAATCATGAAAACATGCATAGATTGAATATGAACTCAAGATAATCAAGTCAGAGTACTCATACAATCATCCAATCAAACAAACATAGCTAGGGTTCCTCAAAACCTAAGCGAAGGGAAGTTACTCCATAGAGAAGAAAGAGACTGCAGTAAGAATCTTCAGATGATCAGTCTTCAAGTCCGGGCTTGTTCCTCGAGCTTCCAAGGCGAAGAAATCCTCCAATTCCACTCTTAGAATGGCCTGAGATCGCCCTTTCTCTCTTTGGTTCGTCCCTTGGGTGTTTGGGATCCAAAACCCAGCTCTCCCCTTTTCTTTGGCTGAAAATCGGGTTTTAACCAGCAATTCCCGACTCACACGGGCAGGCCGCACGGCCGTGTGGCTCACCCAGTTGCCCGTGCAAGTCAAAACGCAGCGTATCAATTAGTTGAATTCCAGGCTTCTTACACGGCCAGGGTCGCACGGCCGTGCAGCTCACCTTGCACGGCCGTGTGGATTTTCTGCTCTGCCCGTGTTTGCTCTCGCACAATCCCACACGGCCAAACTGGTCACTTGCACGGCCGTGTGGGATGTGGGTGTGCCCGTGCAGCTTCCTTTGTGACTTGCCTCGCGCCCAATCTTGGCCCAATCGACCCCGAACTCGCTCCTAAACCTTCATTCACTTGCCAGGACCTGAAATATCACAAACAAGCACAACCTAGCGTGAAATCGGTCTAAAACACGAGAAACCACATCTCAAACGGTGTAAGAACAGGGGTGAAAACATGTGTAATTAATGGTCTATCAGCATGCAATCAGACAAGGGTTAGGGATTGGAAGTCAAGCGCACAATATGTTTCCTTCCCTCTAGGGACGGAATAGAGCATGCAACCGAAGCAAGAAAACCTAGAAACTGAAAAACAAACGAATAATCAAACGGGAGGTTGCGAGGATTCTTACATGCGGGGAAAGAAGTGGATGCACTGAAGAAATTGGATGTGGGGACGGTGGTGGATGAGGTCTGCGCTCGGGGACGGCTGTGGATGAGGTCTGCGCTTGGGGATGGCGGTGGATGAGGTCTGCGCGCGGGAACAGAGCGTGGTATGGAGATGATCAATCTAGGGATTCAGATAGGTGGTTGGGCTAATCTCCTAAAATGAAAGGAAAGAAAGGGGGGAAGAGATCGAGGAGCTAAACTTCTGATTTTTGGGCGGAGAATGAAAAAAAGAAGCGCCCAGAATTCCCTCCATCACCAATTGGTTTTCTTTTCAGTCTGAGAATTTGAGATATTTATTCTTCCTTCGGTCCATAATATCCCGCCATTCATCGATAATTTCACTTAATTAGTTGTCGATAGGTAAATAACACCTATTTTGACTGTTCAGCATTTCGTCATAAGATATTTTGACAAACTACTCGTCACAACCGTATGCTATTCTGACTACGTTTATTATGACAATACCGTTGTCATAACAAGATAGTCATTCTAACCCGGGAGCACCATATTTTGACAACATAGTAATGACAACACGTATTTTGTCATAATAAAACTTTATTTTGACAGAATATTCTGTCAACTCTGCTTTTGTCATAATAGGTTATACTATTTTGACAAATAATAGGATTGTCATATTAAATATCTTATTATGACAAAACTATTATGACAAAAAATTATTTTGTCGTAACTAACCAAAATTCTTGTAGTGCGACAAATGCTAGGACGACATAACGATCTCTATTAGTTAACAATGGTGAATTAGTTGCTGGTTACGTGGTCATTTCCTGGCAATGACTTCGAGAAGCTTTTTGGCGGTCATGTTGCTTTGGGACGAAGAAAGTTACTTTTATTTCGACCCAATAACTCGGTACTAGATTCGGTAGCTAAAATACAGTACGTGAAAGTTACGTATAAAATATATATGTGTGTTATACTTCATCTCAAAGTCAATGGTACATTTAATGGTTCGTTAATAGTCACAAATATATAAAAATAAATATTTTAAAAATAAATATATACATATTATTAAAGTTAATAATTTAATTCATTAAATACGAATATTAAACGCATTATCTGCGTTTTATACGGGGTCTTATATATGTTATATGGATTTTATACGTGTTTAGTACGGGAGCCCTCACATAAATGAACAAGGATGTTGTGCTGGTCAAGTAGGTAAATAGCATTGGCTATGACGGCGCCTTTATTCCCAAGCCTAGTTTTTATGACATTTCTCCAAATTTTAAGAGTGTCCCGCTATCAATTAATTTTTTTCACCAATATGCAAACTACTATCGGGGGTTGAATAATCGTGTTCCCAAATTTTAGAAGTGTCCCGGGACACCCCCAAAGTACCATGTATCCGCCACTGATATAAATTATCATGGGAAATCATAACGTGACTAGTCCTGTGACCTTTTCAATTATACACGGAGGATGTATATATTATAATCATTTTCCTGTGACAAACAATTAAGCACGGGAAACACACTTTTAAACATGGGATTTATCATGATTAAAAAGTCTTTTTCCTTGTAGTGATCCCATCGCCCTGCATGGCCGCACCTTCACCGACAATGCTAGGACAACATAACGATCTCTATTAGTTAACAATGGTGATTGAAGCTTGAATCGAGCACGTGTTTAGTCCATCTTACATACTGGATTATAGATAGTGGTGTCGGGTGGGGTAGGCGATGAATTAGTTGCTGGTTACGTGGTCATTTCCTGGCAATGACGTCGAGAAGCTTTTTGGCGGTCATGTTGCTTTGGGACGAAGAAAGTTACTTTTATTTACTCGGTACTAGATTCGGTAGCATCGTTAGTAAAATACAGTACGTGAGAGTTACGTATAAAATATATACGTGTGTTATACTTCATCTCTAAGCCAATGTTACGTTTAATGGTTCGTTAATAGTCACAAATATATAAAAATAAATATATACATATTATTAAAGTTAATAATTTAATTTATTAAATATAGATTATTAAACGCGTTATATGCGTTTTATACGGATCTTATACATGTTATATGGATTTTATACATCTACACATAATATAATACACCGAAGGGAAAAACGGGAGCCCCATTTCAGCAACGAGAGTGAAAGTAGGAAGGACATTTTGGTCTTCACAATTACTTTTTTTTTATTCATTAAAAAGATATGTACTAGGATTCGAACCATGACCATTTTAAAGAAAGGCAAGGATCATAACCAATCACACTAAGTACATTTGTTGTATCCTTTTAAATTAAAAACATATAATAGCAGGGTGGAAAAAACTCTTCCCCCATTTCAAATTCCCTGTTCCATGAGCGTTTGTAGGAAGGGTAGAATAGGGAGTGTCAATTTTTTTCTCTTTTCTCTGTGGAACGGGCCAACTTACCGTACACATGCGGATTTAAACGAGTCCAGGAGTGTCTATTTTTTTCTTTATACCTTTTTATTTATCCGTGGTGATAAAATATATATGAAAAGGCAAAAATAATACTTCTTTTTATTGTTAAAAATAAAAAATTTAACAATAGACTAATGCATGGTATCTAATGGGCTAACCGCTAACCATAAAATAAAAGAGTTGAATGAGCCTGACCTACATGGGATTTGGTCATCAAGTAAAACAAATGAACATCATGGGTTTGCCATTCTAAAACAAGTTATTTTCTCTGGCATAATATATATTATGCTATTATTTTATATCTTAGTGGCTAAAATATAATGTATTTTAAAGTTATTCAATGGTTCAACCTCGACCAACCCAATTAGTCCAATTTTTATCATTTCAAATATATATTTTATAATTATTTGACATCATAATGATCAAATTATAGTATATTTTATAGGGAATCGTTTGGTATTTGTTAGTAAAAAACTAAACATAAAAATCTATTTGGTTATTTTAAACATTAAAATGATCCTCAACATTTTCAGTTCCTTTTGAATTTATATGGTTTTATTCCCGAATAAGTGATGTGCAAATGGCGAATTGTAGTCGTCTTTTTTCTTTCACTATTTTTTTATTTTCAAATAGAAAGTTTAAAAGTAAAGAATAATTAGAATTTGGCATGGGTCGGTCAAACAGGTTGAATTTCAAGTTTTGGCCCATTTGTTTTATGCATTGCAAATTTATTAGCATGTTGATGGAAATGGCTTGGAAAAAAGACATTTAAGTTGTATCTTTGCATAAATGTCCTCAAATGTTTGAATGCTTTGTGAATCAGGTTCTGTGACTTTTGTGATGGTGTATGTGCTTGACGATTGCTCGATGTTGTAACTACTTAATTTAAGAGTAAATCTTTTGATTTTCCCTATGAGTTGTGATACCAGTTCTGGTGGTTGCAGCATGTTGTCGTTGTTGGCCTGTAAAAGTTGTTTCGCCGTGATGCTAAATATCTTTCTTTCTTTTTTAACAAATTGTGTAGTAGTGCTATGAAACAGACCACCCATGAACGCTACGCTTATTATGGTCTGTTCTTACTTCCGGTGGTGAGAAATTGTGAATTGAGAATCATATTCGCCTACCGCACTATGTCTGGTTGGTGGCTGCTTACTGTGCTCTCTAGAGTTATGAAACAGACTACCCATGAACTTTACCCTTAACAGTCCATAACTTTGCGAAAAACCAAATATAGGCAATCAAAGGTGGTGGATGTGTGATGATTTTTTATGGCTTAATTGTTTGTGAATTAGATATCTGATCTTTGTATGATTAGATGGGATGTTTGCTTAATAGAATAATCCATTTTAATTCATGTTTATTTTTAACATGAACTTTAGTAGCTCAAAACCTTCGAGACACATATCACCTACTGCATTGTATCATTTTTCCTGGGTGCTTGCTGTGTTGTCAAACTTCTTTGCTGCTGATGCATTTACACTAACAGGGGAGTTAAGAACCCATGAATGTTTCCGTTTGACACAAACAAGAGGACTTACTTCTAAATCGTGCACTAAAGATGATTGGAGGAAACATCTCTGTTTGCAGTTGATACACTGGAGACCATAACAAAAGCAACGTATAACATCAAAACCAACCATCTGAACTATTAGCATTGTTGCTTTACTCTTTTTTCGTGGTTGAGTCTCCTTCAGAAAATTTAGTTTGATTTTAGAAAATTTTGCTTCTGCAGTCCTGTCTTGCCACCAACGCGTTCAGTAGATGGAGATGGCAGAGGCGAAGGCTATTTTGTGTTGTTGTTGTTGGTTTAGGGATCGGTTTGTGAAGAAGAAGGAGAAGAGAGGGGGAAAGGGAAATGCATGAGAGGGGGATAACTCTTTTCTCCGACAAAAATGGAGTGAAGAAAGGAATTATGATCAGTAAGGATATGGTTATCTTACATAACTGTGTCTATTTTGTTTGAATTGAGCTTGGGAGGTAGTGATAAGGACGAGCTGCAACCAATTCATAGTGATAAGAGTGCTATGAACTGTGATCATGTCTTATTTCAAGTTAGAAGGTAGTTTCATTATAAGGATTATTTAATTTGACAAGTTGTTTCGTCCATGATTCTTGGTAGTTTCAGTGCCATTCTAGCCATTGTTTAGTCTGTAATTTTTGAGAATTGATGTGCGAGTAATGACTTTCACTTAGCTTCAACTATTATGTGTGTATTTATTGGCATGTGATAGAATTCTCTTTTCCTTTTCTTTGAATTCAGTTTCATACTCTAATTGTATCATTTGTACATAGGCAAATCATGCTCGAGATGACAACTCGCTGATATGGCTGGTGCAAGGAATGAAGCCATCATTAAAATTCAGACCGACAACGGGGAGGGATGCCCAGGACTAATTCAATGATGATTGATGATGGTATGATAAAAACTGCAGTCTGCATCAGCACCAATTTCTAGGCCTAAGTAAAGTTATTCAACCCAGAACTCTGCTTAGCGCTAAAAATTGCCCTCACCCAACCTTTATCCTGTTTGACCCACTTCTGAAGAGTCAATATATATTACTAATTCTCTCCGTTCGTATTTTCTTATTGACTCTTTCTGACCCTTTAGGTTGGGGCGGGTCGGGAAGAATCGGATTAGTGGGCCGGTCTTAATCAAGTGGAATCCCAATCCCTTCACTCTCACTTGCTTTCTCTCCCATTCCACAAGTGGGTAACATACAGTAATCCGGCCAACGGACCGGGTAATAAGCTAGTGTTTAATATGAGAGCCCTCGCATAGATGAACAAGAATGCTGCACTGGTCAAGTAGGTAATAGCTTTGGCTATGACGGCGCCTTTATTCCCAAGCCTAGTTTTTATAACCAAAACTCAGTAGAATAGAACATGGAGTAGGAAAGTGGATCTTGTAGTAAGCATCATGGGGTCTATACGTTGTTTTTGGATTGGAGGGATTTTACATGTGATTCTAGAACAGCGAACCCAAAAATGGTTGGGATTAGAAATTTTGCATATTCCCGCCTCTGCTACATCCGGATTTTGGTAAAAGGGTATCAGAATATTGGTAAAGCGGATAGAGGATCATATCATTGGTGATCGAAGCAAAGGAAGTTGCCAAAGATGCTCCAGCATGCGGCAACGAATAAAATATGTACGTGTGTTATACTTCATCTCTAAGCTAATATTATGTTTAATAGTATGTTAATAGTCACAAATATATAAACTTGTTATACGAGTTATCTACTTGTTATACGGGTTTTATACATGTTATATGGGTTTTATACGTGTTTAGTACGGGGGCCATCAAATGAACGGAAAAAAATGAAACAACTTGACAATAACATAGTTAGTAAAATACATAGTGAAAATTTTATGTACAAAATATGTATGGGTGTTATACTTCATCTCTAAGGTAATGTCAAATTAATTATTTTAAAAAATAAAAGAATATGTAAAAAATATTAAAGTTAATAATTTAATTCATTAAGTACGGATATTTTTCATACATTCTCATTTAAATACACGTTATTTTTCATACCGATAAACTATTATATCTAATTTACCATTTCTTCTCTCGAGTCAGGGTGGGTCCCGGGACACATATCTAACTCTCTCCATCCACCCCTGTTGTGGTCAGATCTTGCCGCAATGAGCTC